CATCTGAATTAGTGTGCACCATTCGATCTAGCGGAATCTCTACCTTCAGAAAATCATATGCTTTGCCGAGCAGTTGGGCTTTCTTGAGGAGTTATGGTTATTTTCATGAATATACCTAATCAACAAGCGCAAAATCACTCATTCATGTACATTCTATCACTATAGATCAATATCACTACGCTACTATAGCTCCATAGAAGTTACCATCTTCAAGGTAACCGTACTCTCAGGCTTGCCCGGCAACGTGTGAATTTCTTTGCAGCATTTGATTGCTCAGAATCTCTACTTTAAGAGTATCATATATTTTTCCGAGCAATTATGATCAGACGAGGAGATACAGCCATTTTCTCATTGCTATACGGGTTGCCATCTTCGAGCCTACCATATTCTCAGCTTTGCCCAGTAACAAGGGATTTTTTGTGCACCATTCGATTCATCGGAATCTCTACATTCAAAAAATCATATGTTTTGCTGAACAGTTCTGTCTTATTGAGCAATTATGGATATTTTCATGAAACTATCTCAACATCAAGCGCCTAATCCCTCATTTATAAACATTCTATAATTAAATTCGGCAAAATATAAATGGATTCATAAACTGAGATCATGCAATACATTGAATGAAGTTTTAATGAATATCTTTTATTATAAATGAAGGTTATTAAATATACGGTTGCTTGAGGAGACTGTTCACCTATAAAGAATATCAATATGAATTATTGAAGGATAGCTTTGGAAAGTGGAAATGTTGAATTTTAATGTTGATTGATTATATTAATCGGTTTTTTTCTGGGGACGATCAATTGGCTTCTCTCGAGTGATGCTTTCATCGAGTTGCAAGCAAACGTTATTGAAGCAATAACCAAGCAAAATAAAGTGTATGAATACAAATCCAGCTGTTGCCAATCTGAAATGTTAAATTCAGTACAATGTTGTCTACATTGACAATATTCACCGCTAAAAATATTGAAAATTAATTGATATAAACTGATCACGGATCAAGTGATTCTGATTTTGATTACATTGCTCCGAAGAATCGTATCAGCGCAGTCGAAATTGATCATTGCTCACAATCAGCAAAATTAACAGTTGATAACTGAGAAATAACATATTCTCATATACTTACCCATCTCGTATGGCAATATCAAGAGATATCACATCAAAGAAGCCTTGAATAAGAAGTTTCTCAAATATCATTTCACCGAATCCATCTTGACCCAGAAAGAAGAAAACACCAAAAACACCTGCAATAGAATTTACTAGTAGAAATTAGATTCATTCAAATAGATATGGGATGTATAAATTTCATGAGTCATAATCAGTACATTCATGAACCACTTCACTTATTAGCTAGAGCAATCAAAAGATACCTGGTATAACTGTAGCGATCATAGCAAAAGCAATAAGCCGTCGTTTATTACGTTTACCGATGACGATTGATAATCGACACCATAGTGAGGTGCATGCAATCATATAACCAATTCGTTCAATAATTAATTCACTTGCACTCAATGTCACCCACAAAATGCAACTCTTTGTAGCGCCGTGCCACGCTAGCACAAACAAAAATGCACCGACCATTGCACCGAATCTACGCCATGATCCGAACGTTCCCTTTATATCGCCCACTAATGGCAAATAAACCTGAACTATGCATTTGGATTGAAGCACTGAAGCTGTTCTCGATCACAGCTTACATTAGTAAAATGTTGCATTTGTTTTCATGAAATAAACACATCACGAATGACAACCTGTAATTTCAGAAACTGATAGAGACCACGATCAAAGTAACGCCACATTCGTGAGTATCGACTGACTCGAGCAATACAAATCGGTGGATCTGGAGGCTTCATTCCATCGAAAAGTGCAAACCACGAAGGTATTCCAAAGATAAGCACATATTTCCAATAGAATAATTGTCCATTCACATAAGCGGTTGCTGCCACTGAATTTGTGAAGTTACTACAAGCCATTTTTGACTCAAAATGCTGCATCTAACTCAAACAAATAATCCAAATCATTCATGTCACTGCCTATTCCAAAAACTGCACTTACACAAGCAGCAGCGACAAACTGAACGGGAATTGTATCGTCAATAGTAAGAAGCCATAGGAAATCGATGAACTTATAAAGAACTGCACTGATAATCTTTATAAAGCCGAGTGAAATTGAGGAGGATGTGAGATTAGAAGGAATGGAGTACCGGGCTCATCAACTGGATGTCAATAGAAAAACAAACGTCCACCTAGTTGTTCGAAAACATGTTGGGGCTAACACGTCGCAGAAATATTCCAACTACTGTTGGAAAGGGGACTCCGCTGGGATTGGGAAGGGCCGTAACGACTTCTGATGAATCATCCCCCTCGCGGGTTGGAGGGGGAGATTTCTTGAACAGAATCTTCCGCGGAAGACGGGGTTTTGAGGCCCCGTACTTTAATTTGTACCTCGGAAATGTAATTTATTCGAAGGTTGGTGGCTTTTTTTTCGAAATTGACAACGCAAATTGCAGCAAGCCGCGGGTTGTAGTGACAAAGCGTTCAGATATTTCGTTGGAGGGGGCTAAAAGTCATCGTAAGAGAACAAAAAACCTGATTATTGTCTCATCGCGACCTACGGCTTGGATCAGTCAGTGCAATTGAATGATTATTGGTGAGCGGTAGAATGCGAACTGGAGAGGCAGACCTGTGCTTATGGTGCGGTTTACAAAATCAGAATATTATCATTATTTGGTGCAACATTTGTTTTGCTCTTTTTTTCATCATTCTATTATAGATTCAATTAAGACGTATGACAATGGAATCTCATATTTGAAAAAAAAGCGATCTAGCTCCGTATGCGCAATACTGAAAGTTCGGCTTCAGCTCTAGCTCGGGCTCATTCTATTTGAAAAATTCTTGTGCAGACCAGTTGAAGCTCATGAATTCAGAAATTTCGGCTCCAGCTCCAGTTCCACATCACCCAAACTTCCGTCTATGGCTTCGGATCCGAAATTTGCTTCGTTTCTGCTATTTATCATGCAGTTTCCAGCTTCGGCTATTAAATATTGCTGTTATATTTGTTTGATGGGGTCGAAAATTTATTTTTGGCTTCGAAGCTTAGTAATCACTGCTTATAAAACTCACATGCAACATTTGTTATGATAAATAAATCAATTGGGAGTTGTATACGATGAATTACTATTGTTTTTCTTAACTTCGTCTTACGAGGGCTCTCGTGGGGGACCCGCGGGTGCGATGGATTTCCCGAGAATGGCCCCCTACGGGGGTTCCCGGCGAGTTATTACGACAAAGGACTTCGCGAGGACCTTCTGAGTGTAGCTGCGAGGAGAGGGTTGGCTCAAACCCCGAACACTAGCTCCAACATAAAGATACATAGAAGAGAGGGATGTACGTTTCTGCAAACTCGTGGCGACTGTATCAGCATGCACGAGGAGTCGAAATAAGGTGGTATCTTGATTACCTTCTCCAATGACCCTTTCCATAAAGCATCGAAAAGACAAGCAATGCAATGAAAAGCAGCATTCTTAAGATGATCAACTCACGTTCATAAATGTTGAGTAAATTGAATATTGGGAATGGTAAGTTGAGAATTGAATACACATATATAAAATGCAAAACAAATTCAAATGCGAAATACCAAAAGATCAGCCGCACCACTTTCCACACCATTCCTCTAAATATCAAGCAATTACACTCGAGAGGTTCATTTCAAAATCGTATTAGTGTTATTTGTTCATTTATTTACAAGAACAACTCATTACGAATTTATGTTTCTCTTTTTTTACGTATCAGTGTTATTTTTTACCCTTTTGCAATTATTTACAAACTAACTTCGTTAAATGCAACGGCATTATTTCACTTTTTTGTTGTTCAGCTTCTACTCGATTAATTTGCGACTCAAAATCATCGTAGAGCACAATTAATAAAGTCGAGTATGGCGGATAGAGAATGTACTGAGCACAACGAATTATATCCAATTCTTTCATTGAATTGATTTTATTCCTGGATAGATGGATACAATAATTGATGACCTGAAATCAGATTAGCAGTAACTCACTGATAACTTTTCGCATATTTTTTCCATTTTGCTTCATGAAGTTTTTGAAATGGCACATCGCTTGTTGCATCCCTATCACTTCATTCGCACCGTGTGCGATAATTAGTTAGCTGTCTGCTTTAAGCACATCTCAATCTCTACACAACTTCTGGTATACTCAAACGAGTCATTGCCTCATTTCAGTAAGCCTATGCTCACGTCCAGTTCAAACGAATACGGCTAAAACCTACAAGAAAGGCACCTTAAACGTTGCCCAAAAAAAAGGTATATGAGGAAAATGCACTAGCGAATTTTTACTCACCTATGTGCATAATTCTCAACAGTGTTCATGAAGAGCTATCCCAATGAGCACCACAGACCTCAATGAAGAGTTATTCCTCAAATTTTTTGTTCAGTTCCTCTCTGACGAGTTACTCCCGCCAGCATGATTCCCCTCCCCCATCAAAAGTTGATCCTAATGAACATTAATTTTATTAGGATAACATCGTTTTATGGTTATATGGAGTTCCTCAAGGAAACTGATGTACCACCATCTTATCAAATTGAACTGAACGAAAACCACTGTAATTGTTTTACAGATCAGCATTGAGACACTCACCTTGATTGCACCATACAGATAGAAATTGTGTTCACGATAATAAATTCGAGGAGGTACTGAAAACGGTGCATAATATTGCGCTTCCATAATGAATGCTATGCAAATCACCCATGCAACCAATTCAGTATGAACGATAAGTGAAATAACTATCGTGAAAACAGCAAAAGCAGCGAACGTCAGCATACATTTTAGACTGAAATAACAATTATCAGTACGAATGAACAGTGACTCACTAAAATGTTATTTTTCGACATTTGTCACTGATGATTCAGTGTTCATTTCATATTAAAACTTCAATAATTCTCTTCAAATTTTTAGCACTTCTGGAACCGCATCATTTTTTCTTTAAATAAAAGGTTTTTTCTTCAATTCCCCTTAAATTCAGCTGGAATTATTTTGAAAAATTCGGATGCTTTTGTTTCTTCCATATGAAAAATAGTTGAAATAACTTCTGGAATACTCTCCGTACGAACAAGTTCGAGTGCATATCTTCTCACGTACCTAGTAAGGTAGAGGTGGACTCCAAGCCAACATACGATCATAATATATTGCGTCGCTCGTTTTGAGAACAACTTTGGAATGATGTAGAAAACAGCTGAAAGGAACCATTCACCTCATCCTATTTTCACTGAGAGTTTGAAATGCTTTAGTCAGAAAATTTGCTTCATTCAGTTGGGTAACAAAGTTCAAGTCGTTTTGAGACAGAATATTCGAAATACACAATTAATTTCACACTGATCAAAATTTGTAACGATGATTAGATGCGGTGATATGGCGATTAAAAATTTCATAGTGAGATCATAATTCGTTGCAAGTGAAGTTCGATTTGAGAGAATACACCCTAAATATTATCTACCAGAGTGAAAGACGAAGGCGATAAGTCTCTCAAATATTGCAATCCGATAGAACGACCATTCCGGGTCTGTCGTATCCATGTGATAATCGGGCATGTAACTGAAATAGATCATAGTTTCGCTTTAAGACTTCAAAGATTCGAGAACAGTCCCACTTTCAATGATTCAATTAGGCTAGGATTTCAAAAAATTGATACATTTTAAAAGAAAACGACTGGAATGTGAATGTGTCACTTATTGGAAGTGCGTAAAAATGGTGGTCGGACATTGACAGAAGAGGATAATCGGTTGGTGTCCACGGAGCAGTGACAGATAGCTTCTCTTCCAAGCCAAATTTCATGCGTTTCAACGCTAGTATAGTAGTAAGAAGTAGTGTGGTGCGGGGATCGCAAAATTTCGAGGACCCGTTCCGGACTTTTTTCGAGCCGACGACATTTTCGAGGTCCCCGACTGGAGAATTTCGTTCCCGCACCATACTGTTATCAAGCAGTATATTCCTTCTCAAAAAAGCGAAACTTTGTTGAAGTGATAAAACAAATATAAATTCTCATGGTGAATGCACATACTCGCTCTGCGGAAGCCATCTTTCCAATGAACGACGCAGTCTATTGGTAATATTGAATACAACCACGAATGCACCGATCGCGTGCGATATCCAAACAGCATAGTATAAGAGCAGTTCGAATTTGGGTAACTGCGCTATTACGAAACCAGATGACGGTTTGTCGTCGCTATGCTTCTTTGGAGTATTTGTCATCGTATTTGTCCGAAAAGAATCAGGATAGCACCTATCTCATTGAATATCATGCAACAACTAATATATAGTTGCACTCTCCTCTGCAGTTATGGTAACCTGAAAGAAAAAACAAATACTTTACATGCATTCTGTTGTTGACGATCTCAATGCAACATTCATTTCATTGTTGAACAGGTGAACAATACGAGATCACGTAGCATCCAGATTAAATTTTAACATTCACGAAAGTTGCTTTCTAATTAATTCATTCTCTCTCAGTACTCCAATACAGAATACATCATCAATTTTTGTTTTAAAAGAAGTTCACATCACTAGATTAATCGATTCGAACTAATGCCACTAACACCTACAGACATCAAATATTCAAATAATATTCGATCATGAAAACGATGATTCGAAAAATAATTAATGGAAGATTGAAGATAAAAATAGTTCGAGAGCAATAACATTAATTGTATGTTCTCGCACGGTCTGTTGAATATAGAAAGCAGTGAACACTGGACACTGAATTGTGTCAGTCCATCGATAGATTCACTGTACACATAATTACTATAATAAATAAAACTTATGCGCATTAATGATCGCGATAATCCTTTCAGCAAAACCGATATGCAATTATGTAGCAACATAATTACGTTTGCACTTCATTATACTATATCAAGTGCACCACATAAATAGACTCTTCTATTAGAATTTGCATCAGTCAACAACAACCATAATTCAAGTGAATCATTTGCTCCCCGAATAACCTCGCCATCGATTTCTCCGATGCCCATAAATTAAGCATCGGAATGGTTTGTCCTCGTGGCTCAAGTCTGTTCATAACTCATTTTCAGTATTATGTCTTTAACTAGCTTTTTCTGTTATTTGAAATGTGATTAGCCATGAATATAGTATCAAGTTGTGATTGAAATAATTTTTTGAGGAAATCAATCGAATAAAAAAATTCAAATGCAACTTCATGATAATCAAATGAAACTATTTCAACATCGAAAATCAACCAAGTAAATCTCGCTTAAAATTCGATTATTTACTAGAGGAGTTGATTGCTGAATGAAAGAAATAGAACTGAATTTCGTTTATTCAACACGGAAGGTAGTCAATTTTGTGTTGAAAATTTGAATAAAATTACCATCAGCTACCCTCTAGCAAACGATGATCAACAGAGCATAGTTCGGTCAAATGCTGAACGTAAACCAGTCATAACTGCGGTTAAGTGACGCTTTCGGCGTTATGCCTTCCATCTTCAAGAACATCTTTCTTCGAGTGATTCAAAAAGAAGATGGAAGATGTAACGCCGAAACGTTGCACATCATCGTAATATCTCCAATCAGCAGCACTACCTTACCGTTTTGATTCATCTATTACCACCATGCGTCTTATAAATGAGGAAAACTTTCATCGGAAGGTTACAATTAAGTGTTTCTTGAACTGACTGAAAAATGCGAAACGCATCGACCATTTTGGAAAGCGAGCAAGCATAGAGTATGCATTTAAAGCAACTCTATGCTGGTGAACAACGATCGTGAAATTTCCTGTAATTGTTGAATTCTCACTGAATATTTGTCGAAGAATCACTGACAATAAATATGGAAACTGAGAGAAATGAATCAACAATTTGATGGTGTACGTTGAGACGAATATGGAAAAAATTAGATGAAACCGTCATGATTTCAATCAAACACGAAAACCCAGCTGCATTGAAGAAACGAACGATAAATTTGTTCACTCGTTCATTCTTCTCCTCCACAAAACAGACATCTGTTTAGTATTTATTGCTGATCACTGCATAGAATTATCATTTATTTATTCGTTTCACGAATATTCATTTCAATTTCTCTTCCATTTCAACAATATGCTATTATTCAAGGTTCACAGCTTTCCTTCCATCTAATAATTTCAGTAAAATGCAAATATCGCAAACCTTACCACTTTCCCATGTGCAATTGCATCTCAAAAACGTTTCTTTCGTCTCTCAAACTTCTTATCCACTACAAAAATGCGTACAAATCGAATAACAAACACGCAAAAAATCATATCAACGAAACGATACCAACGCATTAAAAACCTTCAAAAGTGGTGAGGTTGACTGGAAGGAAATGATCGAATGGAAGGAAAAAGCCTTCACAGGAAATCTTCATAATTGAGATAATGGGACAGAGACAAATATCTGAAGGATGCACCCAAAACAAATACCGTGAGAAAGTTGATATCCGTTAGAAAGCTAGATCTCCACCAGATTACTTCATCGCTAGAATGGCTAGAATAAAATCAACCTTAGACGAGTGATTCTCAAGCTATCACGCTTAATGTACCCCTTTGTCCATAAGATAGAACGCCAACTTCTTCCCGCAATTCATCAATTCTTAACGACAAATCAGAAAAACTGATGTAGTAATCAATGAATCTGCTGTCTTGAATTTATCAGTGCTATTAAAAAAATCACTCCTTTTTGATCAAATAAGCATTTTGAAAGCATTGTTGAAATTTTGAAAGAGAAATCAAGCATTTGCTAACCGTTTCAATTCCTTTCCTCACCTGACATCCTTGAATCTCTCTAAGTGAGAAGTTCCCCCTATGAAAACCGTTGGTCTAGAACATTTGGTTCGCATATTTTGTGTACCAGCTTTTCAGTGCCAACGATATATTTGACAATCAGTGAATTCTCGGTATCAACAATGAGAATATGCATTTTAAATAAAGCTAAAGTTTTAAGTTTGAATGTTTGAAGTTCGAAAAATGAAAATGTGATTTATGAATTTGCTTACTTATCAGTGCTTGCGGACAAACAAAAAATGATGTTTTCATAAATACAGAATATGTTCACTGAAGCAGTCGAATAGATTATTTTCTCAACTGGGGTGTTCGCATTCTTTCGGGGTGCGAGATAGTATTTCAGGGAGTGTGAGATAACAATGAGCAATTGACATCATTTGATTATTTGTTCATTCATACGTGTGTTAACTCATTTATTTAGTCGGTGCGTTTTTATCAACGTAAATTGAAAAATCTTGTTAAAATACATTTTAACCAACTCATAAATAATTCTCGATTCGTGCTGATTGTGAGTTATCTGTCAAAAGTCACAACTCTAAAATTCAAGGCAAAGTACTTCTTTAGGTGTCATTAGTATGACGCATCCGATATCAGCTCCGTCAAAAAATATCTACACACACACACGCTCGTCTTTCGTGCACACTAACCAATCATCATACAATCATTACGCTAAGATCACACAACCATTGCGGTGTCGATTCATCGCTGTTTACTGATTGTAATGTGCTTCGGAATCTATGAGCCAATCAATTCCAAACAATTTACGATGAAAAAAATGCGAACAAATTGAATTGAAAAGCTGATAATATAACGAAGACAAAATAGAATAAATTTTTATCGATGAAGTCATATGTAGTTCGAATGACAGCAAGTTGAATAAAATTAATGCTTTTCAAATAATAAAATTACGAATTCAATGCTATACTTCGAATTAACAGCCGTAGAATATTTGTATCGAATAGGGAATCGTTATTAATACAATTCAGAGATTTTAATAAGCATTCATGTGCTTTTTATAGCATCGAAAACGCATCATTCACGTTCGTTTTAAAATTTTACTTATTCTGTTCTTTTTCAATGTATTTAATAGTGATGAAACTTGCAGGATGATTTGTGAAAATAATGCTGAAGCACCTAACTAGGGACAAATACATCAGAAGATAAACGTGCTTTGAGAGCATGCATACTTTTCTCATATCTGAGTCAATGGATTTTTGCTGATGAAAATCTAGGCGCATCGATAGCTCGAGCATAATACTTCAGTATACATAAGGATGTTGCCCAAATACAAAGTCATTCAATTTAATTCGTGGGCGAAATACTATTTATTTTCTATGAACGATTGAATAAGTAAATCTATAATGAATCAGCACTGATCTCTTATTTGAGAGTCTTTTTATGATAACTCAGATTAGATGCCCAATCAGAGAATATTGCGATCAATTAGACGTAGTTTTAAAATAGAGTAAAATTAAGATGAAACATGAAGATGAAACAGGTAAAATGAAACTGATTTGAAATCAATTAGAATGAAACACGAAGATGGATTTCCGTCAAACTGATGACTGTTCGCAGTTGATTAAAAGATGAGTGGTTGAAAAGATCATATCAAAAACGGGTCAAATGATCATGCACGCAATGCAACATAATAAAACGAGAATTGTTTGTGTGGTTCGAATTGCATGAAGACGGTAAATTTAATCGAATCCGTTGTGAATCTGTTGAGTTGCTCAGTTTGTGAACAGACCTTGGAAAGTGAATATATTTATAGACATATGCACAATAAATTGCGTATAACTAAACGAATGATTGAAAAGCTCGTATGAGCAACGATGATGACCAACTATTGAATAGAGTAAACAAAAAATGCTCTTGATAACAATAGCATTGACAAACCTTAAGGAAAGGTATACAACAAATGAAAATGATTCACTCATATCGCATCGTTCAATTGCATGTCGCATGCAAAACTGTTCACACAAACAAGTTTTACCTTTAACCGACGTTAGCAAATCACTTTTCATGATTGAACTCTGTCAGCTTAATTATGAAAAGAACCGCATTGAAGAGCTCAATTCGAATGACTGACTTTCATAAAGCCTCATAGTCATAAAGCCTCAACGAGGTCAAATAACGTGATTTGGCAGAACAAAACGTTCATCTCTATACATCATTCGTTCAAATTGTATGCAAATTTGAAGGAAAACTATGAGAGGTTCACACAGATAATAAACAGAATTGCTTACGAAAAAAAGATTAAAAGTTTTAAAAGATACTCATCAGCATTATTTATCGTTTTCTATTGCTGCAAGTAAAGTATTATCAAAATAACATCAAATATGATAGCATCATTCAAAATTCCTTATAAACATGAGGCGAACATGCCTAGGCTCACAATACGAGTGTTCACAAAACACTACAGTCACCATATTGCAGATAAAATGCTTAGAGATGACGGCAACTATGACAATTAACGATTCAGAATGTTATAACAACATTTTAAAACACACAGTGAAGTGCCGATGCATTTCCGTTCGCAAATAATATGACTTGTTGATGTTCAAGAGAATATAATCAAGAAAAACGTTCATGTTGTGATCAGTCATATCTCATTCAGTATCACGCTCATTTTGGCTGAACAAAATGATGCCAATGGAATGAATATGAGATTATTCAAAATGCGAAATCCAATAGGCGATAGCTCTCGAAGAAAGAATTTCTGCTGGACAAAAGAAATACCCATTTGGATAACAGAATTAGACATGGTTCATCAATAAAAAACTCATAACCTTTTCAGCTAAATTCTTGCATACGGTTGGTTCAATATCAATCTAAAAATATTTATGTCTCCATGATTATAGCATTCATATAGCCATGGGACGTAAGCAGTAAAATGATGACAATTTAACGAAGATGCAGTCTTTTTCAAGGAAGATGACATTCAGTATATTGAATCATGGAAGCTGCATTGTAGCACACAACAGTGAAGACGAAGGGAACTGACGACTCAAATCAAGATCAAAATAAACTTGAACGGCATTATGAAAGAGATGACCTTTGCGAGGGCAGAATTCTGAGTTGTTTGCTTATATTTAAGTGCAAAAGATTCAGTTAACTGCACTATTATATGAGGTTTTTTGTTATATTGGGAAGAAATGAGGATGTCACGGTGGGAGGATATGATAATCGCCATCAAGGAGACGTATAAACTGGTAGTTTTCAAGGAGAGGTACAAACTGGTAGATTAAATGAATATCACCAAAAGAAATATTCGATAAGATAGCGTTTTTTGGAGAGGAATTACCGCTGCCCGATATGGATATAATTTGCGAATAGTGGCATTAAATGATGCTGTTGCTGTTCTACATTACTGAAGTGAAAGAATATTACTGATTGTGATTGTTATTTATTTTACATATTGTTGAAAGTTGATAAAATCAAATAAACGAATGCTGTTACGCTCATTGTTCAGGTCTTTACATACAAGAATATTTTTATGTTCACCGTTCAGCCATGTTGAAATATACTGATTAAATGTCACCAAAATCACGTATGCTGATATCACTATTAATTTTTGCTATCAATGATAACGCAGACCAATGTCAATTGGTGTGACCGCACTTCATCGCTTCACGTATTCATCAGATCGCACTATGATTTTGATGCAAAGCAACTACTTGAGAGTGATGACTCTTGTGAGTGTAGATGATATCGCATAATACATATCGACACAATTCTCGAATGAGCGACCTGAATTCTCACAGCCATGTTTTAGTGACAGTTCACGCTTCATTCAAGTATAATTCGAACTGCACTTAGCACCGAACTGTAGTGCCTTTACGATCGTTCCGTAGTTACCGATCATAATTAGTGATGAGACTTGAGCGTTTCAATGACTTCAAGATAAAAACCTTTAAATGCAGGCGGTAACAATACTGACAATGAGATGCACAATTCTAAAATGACCGCTTTCAGATAAGCAACAAACATGTGTTCCTGGCATTCAAATCATGTATTATCATAAAACATCCTAACACAGATTCGAATGTGCACGTAGCGTTGAGCAAACCTAGAAAATAATTGAAACCAATTACGTAGCTCCTCAATACGAGTACTTCTTTGATTTTTCAATAGCTGCCACCCTTCTCTTCAAGGATGCCATATATCACATTATCCAAGAAATCTTATTTTTTCTACGAAGCTATGTGACCTTTTGAATACGAACCTGTAATCGAAATCAAATCCTCTTCATCGTCTACCAGTTTTTGAAAATAGCACTTTGAATCAGGTCGGATAGTAACTTTTTGACCAGGAGGAGGGGCGACCAAGACCAAAGTTGGGGAGCAAAATCGTCGGGAGTGGACCCTGTCCGGGAGCATTTCGAATCAATTTTAGATAAAATTTCCTCTCCCGATGCGCACTTCTAAAAGGAAAACGAAAACTTTATTCAGTGATGGTGCGCTCCCGGCCGCGGCTTTAAATAACGTGTTGCTACGACTTGAATGTCACTTATTCCTATTTACACGAGCACGTTCATTTAAAAAATATTCAACAGCTAATGGTGACATATGTTTTATCGAGAGAAACAGCAATGCATAAAAAATATATCTATTGGTTGATAAGATGCAATAAAAATGCACAATGACTAATATATTCAACAGTAATTGATTTGAATACAATCTAGTATTAATATTCAATGTCAATATAAAGGACAAATTCATTTTTGCGTCACAAAAGTTGAATACAATGAATGCGAAGAATCAAACCGCGTACACAACCCGTGTCTGAGTCAAACGAAGGAATATTAGCTACCAATTTTTACATTCCGAATGAATTGGATCAAGTTATCAGCCGAACAGAAACGCTTCAACAACTCTATTACATCAACATGCATATAGACAATACTTCACTACGAAGTTAAAGCGTATCTACATTGATTCGAACATAAACACGAACATAAAGCAACAACTGAACATTAATTTAAGTAACAACGAAACTGATTCAATTGCACATTCAAAATCATCTAACGACTGACTGAAAACTGACTGAGAACGATCGGCTACGCATCAAACGCCTTCAACAATTCATACATATGTGGCCGTGTACAAGATAAATTTATGAGGAAAATGTGGCGTGGACACTAACTGAAACGAATAGCGGCAGCGAAATGAAGAATAACGTGCATTACCAAGAAAGCGAATGCAGCAAGCAAAGAATCTTGTACGAAGTACCAAGTCTTTTCGATCAGGTACCCTGAAATCAGGTACTGATTGTTGAATATAGCACATGAAATATCAATTAAATTGCCCAAATGCTACGCAAAAATCCTTGAGTAAGATAATTCAGCATTTTATGTAATTGAATATTCATTCATGAGGACAGAACGACATAGTAAAGCTCTGACACTGTTCTGTGACGTTATCAAAATTTAAAAGTTTGAATATCAACTGCAGTCAGACTGACGAGGAATCGTAAAATGAACCTGTTCGAATTAAGAATTTCTCTTTGATACGACCGATGGAACTTTCGTTGGTGGCGAAGAAATTTAATCCATTTAACAGAAGAGTACAACTTTGATAATATGATGATTTGCACTGAAATGACGCTTACTATACTTGAGATGAAACATCTGATGATCACTGACCACTGTTTACAAACGATATCGTAAGAACACTATAACCAAAACCTTTCAACAAATGAATAAGGAAAACTGAACACATGAAAACGTTTAAAATACCTTATTAACGATGAAGTAATCAACAGTAATATAGACAAGTATCCATGGTATAACAACATTTACGAGTAACGATAGTGCCACAAAAATACGTAATATAACGCCTGGAAGTGACATGAGATAAACCAAATAACTTTCCAGTTATTTGAACAATACGACAGAAGGCACTGCTTGTGAAGAAGCGCCATAACTGGATAGAAAATACTCACAATCATTGCACTCCCCGAAAGTTCGTTGAACCTCTCTTCTCTTGTCAAAACCCGATTATTGAAGGATTTGACAATTTTGAAAACAAAATTAATAGATAACAGTCAAATGTAATACCAGCAGTGATGCAGGTACGCAGTCGATCTGCTACGATGAAACTATACCACGGTTCATCCTGTGTTCCGGTGAAGGTCTCTAAATGCTCATTCGCTGGTGTAGAACGAATAAACGAATCCAATTCAGAGCTCACACCATCCGCAATGCTCTTATCTGATAATTCTGCGGTATTGCTGCAATAAATCTGATTGCAGCTAAAAGCCGATCATATTGAATTTCCAAGCAAAAGCAGGATAAATGCAACTGAAATAACAAAATGATTAATAAAAATCCACAAATTATGAATACAATCAAAAAAGTTCATTGAAATGATACAGTGAGTTACACAGATATTTCTGAGGAGTGGGTATCGTAATGAGCACCAATCGATGTCGAGGCAGTGAACACATTATTACAGTTTTGAACACCATCCAGAACGGGTTCTTTACGAGGCTCTTCTGCAAAAACGAATTCACAATGAATGGAATTATTTAATGAAGTATCAACAAAGAATCAAATAACCCAATTTTCATTTAGAGTGTCGTATGATACGAAACACCATTAAATGAATATTGTTATATGGTTTGGTATGAATGTACCACTTACTGATTTAAATACTTTAAACTAGTGTGGTGCGGGGAATTTCGGTATCCTCGTCCCCGACTTTTTTTCAACCGCAGACATTTTCGGGGAATATGCTATCCCCGAAAATCCCCGATTTTCCCCGCCCCCGACTTTTTTTCCGTCCCCACACCACACTACTTCAAACAATTCTGTATGTCGTCGCTTAACCTCAGCCTGAACCGAGTTTAAGTAAGCTTCGATTAGAAGCTGGACTTGAGTTCGAGAAAGCCTCAGTCCCTGGAAGTGTGGCGTTTCAAACACTTCCATCTGTTCACTTGGAAAAAAGATGCTCAAAAGTTTAACAGAAAAAATAACTTTGCAATATATGATAATGTACCTCCACCATGAGCACCAAGAATTGACTCAATACGTTGCTTGGAATTCATCAATATCCGCTCTTTTCTCTTTTGACTTCGACGCTTAGCAATGGAATCATAACTTGTTACACAGACTTCACTCATTCTTATAACTGACTTCCTTGCGATGCTCTGTCCGATTACCTGTACAGATCAAGTCATTGCAATAATCTTTATTTTCATCTTTGTGATCACCACATTTATAGTATCGGAATATTTCAGCTCACGTTATCAAATTCGACCTGTATGGCAATTACACTTAAGACAGTTGGACATCAGCAATAACACTTAAAATTAATACTTAAATTCTAAGAGCAAGCTGTACATCTCAGTTGTGAGACGAAAATGAATTTCTTATATGAGTGTTGTGCCCATACTGACAGCACATCGCAAAAAATGAGTGAAGGCTAATCCTGCAGTTTAGGTCGAGAAAGGGGGTGTGGTCTAACTCAGCCATCGCACGCATGAAGACAGTGTGCCACAACTCTCTCCGCACATTAACAACTGCTTTCTCGAACAGGCAGAATAATTTCAATAGGAATTAATTCCATTAACTGGGTACAGTTTGGATTCATTTTAAGAATACATTCAGTTCACCTGAGGTAAAGAATAGGTCAATTACAGATTTACACTCACAGAAATGAATCCGTAGTGAACAGTATTAATCTATTGTGCAGATTATGTTAATATTGTTCACTACTGATTCATTTCTCCCGGTTGACATAAACAAAGGGATGACCGACAAATACGTCCGTGACAAGTCTAAACTGCAACAAAAATGATGAGGCACGCGCAAATTGTCGGAGTGGAATCTTATCGCGGACCAAATTGTCGTAGACCCAAACAGTTTCTAAGATCTTTGAATCGAGTTCAACATACTTTGCCAAAACTGATTAGACATCAAAAAGAATGGAAATATGATTGCTCTTGGTACAAACGATCTTCAGAACTTTTATTTTTGAATTGATTCCTCGGGATGTGTAAATTCACTGAAGACGTTAAAATAGAGTGAGAGGATGAGGCGTTCCAGTTAAGAAATACTCTTTTATCATATCAGTTCTAAAACTACAAAGTGCTAAAGTACACGATAGCATTTTGAAGAGATTAATTATAGATTTCTAATTCAGTTGAGAAAGTTAAGTTTTTGGGTTCCTTCATCGTTCTTCTCGCACTGGTGTTTATAGACTCACTTTATCAGATCTAATTTGCAGTTTAATAAAGATCATACGTATTCATAGTGCATGATTTGGTATTGCAGTAATGCCGGAAGCTCCAAGTGGATCGACCACAGAATCTGTGATACGACCAACAATCACAGGTTTATCACCAAAAGAAGGTGTACCTGGTGCTCAGATTAAAATTCGTGGTGAGAATCTTGGTACTGGACAGTCCGATCTACTGGCTTTATCAATTTGTGGAACAGATTGTTTGATGTCAGCAAGATGGAAATCACCTTCATTGATCGTTGCAAGTAAGATGCACTCACATTCATTTCGATTGGATATGAATTGGAATGTTGATTCAGAAAGGGATGTTTCATCAAATCTAACCGCTCAACGAGATATATTATGGGTGAATATGGATTTCAAAGGGAATGATGGCATTGCAAACCATGCTAGAAATATCGTTAAAGTGTAATTGTAATAGTGATGTGCTGAGAACTTGAATTACTCTTCTGGTTTAGTTTCATTCAGATGAAGTGGTTAAGTGGTGAAAGAAAGTGTTGAACGCAAAATGTATGAATATTAAAGGAGTTGGTCAAGCAAAGCGTGGCGTTGGGGAAATAATAATAGTGACCAAATCGATGGGTCGAAGTGTATCGAATGTCACGTTTCGGGTATTTATTGTTCAAGTGGGGCCATTAGAGGAAAGTGCTGTGTGGGTGGATGAGTCACGAACTGTGCCAGCACGCGAGGCAATTCGCAACATTCCTGAAACAACTGAATCTGTTGATGCACTCGGCCTTAAAGTAGAACCGTTAGTGTTAATCGCTAATTCTTCGCAATCACCTCTCTCTGAATCAATTTCTCAGTTTAATTAACGAAACATTGAGAAATGGAACAGTAAAAGTTCGAATAATAATGATAACAGTAACAGCACTATGAGTTAGTGAACGCAACCTTTCAAATGATCCAGCTAGTTGTGTAACATGGAATAAAGTCTTTCTGTAGATGTCAATTGATCTAATCCTCATCATTTTATTTCAGTCAAAAGAAAATGCCACAGACTTCGCTAATGCAAATGTTCCCTGATGGATCGGGTAATCGTCGTATGGAAAATTTCAGTCCTGCTTGGTATCTGCTCGAAAACCATCGGCAAACATCGTTTGTTCTACGATTGTTCAGCAAAACTCTCACAATCAGATCATTAGAATTAACGTTTAATTTTTAAAGTCACCTCTATGCGTGTATTAATCGATGCTGATTTGCATGAATGCATTCAAAACTAATAGGAATTGAATCGCACAGATGTATTCTAGGTTGGATGATCTGCGTAAAGGTTTATCAAATTTAACACGTAATGCGAAAGAAGAAGAGAAAAGTAATGCGGATATTCATCGCGCCAATCTTTGTTCATTGATCAGTTGTGTTGATGCGTTAGCGACTCTTCATGATCGAGTACAACTCGAGAAAAACACTCGAGGATGGCCGTTAACAAAGAATATCTTCGATGAGGTTTATCCTTTTGATTTGAACAACAGCTTTACTTTTAACTGCTTAGGTATTTTCACAGCTGGGTGAGGAAGTGTGATCTTGTAATTAAAAAGTCACTGAAGATTTTTAGATCAATGCTTTCAGTTCAGTTCAGTTTTATGCTCATTCTTTTATTAATGTACATGTTAAATTTTTCATATCTTCGATGGTCGTAATTTATCAATTTATTGCAATAATATGATTTTGGAAGTGTTTTCTTTTTCTAAACTGGATATTACGAATAGTGAAATGAATAACAGAGAAAGTAACGTGTGAATTTGGTTCAGTTAGTTGAGTCACATTCGACGGCTGAATCACTATTCCATGAAGTGTTGAATCGTAAGGATCGTGCTGATGCGACTCGAAATGCACTCTCGATTCTCACACGTTTCCGCTTCATTTTCTTCCTTTCAAGCGCCATCGATGAAAATCTTGCCAAGGTTCATTAGATTTGTTTCTATCCCATTCTCTAATTTTAGACATTATTCCCAGTGTCTCACACTCGAACTTTTCTTTATCATTCATTGCTTTATGTATTTGTCATTAAAATTTATAAAGGAAGTGCTTTTTGAAGGGTGAATATTCAACGATATTAAATGATTACACACGAGCAAAATCCCTTTTCAAAGACACAGAAGTGGCACTTTTCAAGGAAGGTACATTAGTATCATTTTATATTCAGTTGTTAAATACGTTCCTTCATTGAGAATAATGTATCCAAATATGACGAATGATTAGCAATTGTGTTTGATTGAAGTAATGCACGAATTGGACTGTAAAATGGAAGTGTTCAAAAAGAATATGAAACAGCGCCTGATCGATATGCCGACTTCATTCGAAGATCAAAGTAAACTCATCAAATATCTTAAGGTGATGGATTTACTGATTAGTTTCTCGAATGAATGATTAGATTGGATCAAGAGTGTGGAATTTAATGAAGTGTTTTTTGTTCGTCGAACTCGTGAATGTGTGTATAATAGTATAAATTGTATGTGTAACTGAATGAGCAATGAAAATTGAAGGTGCTAGAACCTGAATCAGATCCAGCGTGGGATTGCATAACTGCTTACCATTGTTGGCTGGAAGATTTGCTGTGGCAAGTTCAATTCAAACATCACAAAATCGGTTTTTGTCCATTAATTCTACCTCTGAACTAGCAAATAAACTTTTCTTATTTCACTTACGACTCTGGTTCATTCTTTGTTCTTCTATTTGTTGAATAATATCATTTCAGTTCGTTGTTCTATTCTTTTATCTTATTGTTTTAACGATTAGGTTTGATTCACTTGCAATTACCAATATTTATTCTCATCATTTCAGCCGTCAATGAAATCAATAATGAGCAAAAGAAGCCAGATGACATGTTCTCATGTAAGAAATTTCATTTGAATCCTTAATCTTCATTGTAAATTACTAACAGTATGTCAATATCTCTGATTCTGATCTAGTTCTTCAGATAGTGCGTGAAACATTCCATAAAGAAAACCCAACAGTGAGCATTCAAACAGATGATGAATAACATATACATTAAGTTCATATTGTTGTTTCATTCTAGTGGTTGATGGAAACGCGCATAGTCGTCAAGATTTTGTGCAGGCGATCGTGAATTTGATCACAGACAAGCTACAGACGTTCTGGAAATTATCACAGGTCTATTCGGTGTCTGCAAGCAACGTGAATTATGTGAATCGTCAACATGATATTTGTGTAGGTTACTTTAGTCGTATTTTACTCTGTTTACAAACACTCAAAAATCACACTTTCATTGAAGAAAGTCGTGGATTAGTAGCGTTGAATTGACTGTATATGATGTAGGTAAAGTTTTGCTAAAATATTATGATGAACTGAGTGTGTTTGAAGCAAATGTTAATCAATACAATAAACGTGTCATCGTGGTTGATGTTAAATGCACTTGTGCCATCCTCACTTCCTGAAGCAGTTCAAACACAATACAAAGAACAATTTGTCGAGTGGCCACCGATCTCTTCCACGGCTCTTACAAATCAACTTTTCGCTTCGCTCAAAATACTCAGGTTTGTTCTTATTTCTCTTTTCTTCTTTCTCATTCAGGTAACTACTAAAATATTTGATTATATTTCAGATTATATTTCATAATGAATAATGATTGTAGGAATTGTATAAGCACAATGCTTGATTATAACTTCACAAGTGAGCATCTGCAACCGTTGATTGAGTTATGCATGACGATTCGTCTAAAATGTTTATCGAAGATTGTGGAAAAAACTACTCGAGGTGATAAAATTACAGCCTTGTTTATAATATCCACTTATTTTTATGGATTGCAAAAAGTTGAATCTTCGAGGCGTTTTCTGAGTGAGGATCTTATCAGTAGACATTGTTGTCGTCTAATTTCTGAACATATTGTTTATGACTCGACTGAATTGCTGTTCATTACGATTGATTCATGCTAACAACTATGGATAAATGAATGTGCCAGCAATGAGGTGTTTGATTACTTAAGGAGTCATTGCTTTGGGAAGCAAAGAAAACTGGAAGATAGAAAATGTTCAAAATGATCATGCCAAGACATTGCTTCCAGATTTGTACGAAAATGAGGTAATTTGACATTGGCTTTTCTAATGAATGCAGTATGATATTATTCCATATTTCAGTATTAAAAAAATTATGAAATGTAGATGATATCATAATTTGAATTTGAATTCTAATGATAAAGTAAATTAATAAATGATGCATAATAAAATAAAGGTGAATGATTCATTATCATCAATTGGTCAAGTTTTGTCATTTTGTGGATTTTCTGGTGAAATGGATTTGTTCACAAGGGAACCGTTTCGATTGATGTTGATTGATTTGTTCTCAATCGTAGTCACATCAATACGTGATTGTATTGAGCATGTTGTGCAGTTAAGGTTAGTTTTTGTAATGTTCATTATTGTCATTGTTTATGTCTTTTACCGACACTTGGTGTTGTTTTGTGAATTGAAATGTTCTAGGAGTGATGTTCGTCGACCGGCTGCATTGGTTGGTGAAAATACAGTTGGTAGTAAGAAACTATTGATTGCGATTTGTAATATGGAATACGTTTTGGCCTATTCATTGCCATCACTTTGCAGAAGATTATCTGAAAGTGGTGTGAAATACAGTGATTTGATTTTTGAGGTTTGATAGATCGCATTCATTCGTAACTTTTGATTGACATTCTCCAGTATTATAATTATTGGTTTCATCAAAAATATCATCATTTCGAGATATTTAGGACGGTGTTTGAGTGATCGAGTTCAAGAACTTGCTTGGTGAATGTATTGAAAGAAGTTGAGTGGGGTATTTGGAAAGTAAACGAAGTATTTCAGCGAAGTCGAGAGCAGTTGACCAGCTTTCGTGAAAGTCTTGTCAAGAATTATCTTCAGTTAAAGTGTGGAACTTTTTCGTCGATTATTGAATCGGCGAACTACGACGATTTACCATGTGACGGTGCGTCTTCAATTAATCAGTTGTTGATTGTTTCATTCAGTTTCGATTTCATTTCACTGCAATATGATGAAAGTATATTTTGAAGATGTTTCTGAGTATATCAAGGAATTGATGATGTGTATGGTGTTTATACAGTCTGAAATATGTTTAATGGCTCCTCAACTTATTCATGAGGTACGTATCATTATAAAATGAATTAAGATATTTTACTTGTTATGAAACACACCAACAACGAATATCATAAGATATGACGCACCCGTCTTTTTATGAAGGTATTGTGTCCAGCAACACAAATCGCATTCGAGCAGTTAATGGAATCCTTATCCAAATTGGATAATTTATCCGTTGATCAAAACACACAACTTGTTGCCGACCTCTCCGCCCTTGAAGAAACTCTTCAAAATTTCCTCTCACTTGAAATCAGGTATGAATGAAGTAATGTCTAACTGAGTATTTGTAACATATTACACACCCCTGTTTTTATGCCTGCGTTTGTAGTAGTTGTTCAAAATAATTACTCTAAGAAACAGTCCATAATTTCTCTAAGAAATAGTCCAATTTTCAGAACTATTCTCAATTCGTTTCGTGCTGCTCATATGAAGAATCTCGATCAAACGTATGTTCAAAGCTTTATAAATCATTATCTTGATGTACTGCATATGTTTCATCAAGCACCGCTATCTTGACTACTTTATATTTGAAAGGGATTTGTTTTCATAGTTATTGTTCGAAATATTTTAAGCAAACTCCGTTGGATAAAGCACGAGATTTCGGACGTTGCAATTCCTTCGTAACATTAAGATGATTCGTTCAATCCGCTTTTCTTTTTTCATTTATTTCCTTTCAGATATTTTCAACGCATTCTGCGTAATTTCCGAGCTGCGATGCGTATGGCAATCGCCAGCTTGAACTGTGAACATGCAAACGTTCCGAATGACACATCGAATGTTTAATTAATTCATTTGAGTTGTTTCTTTCGATTTTATTATTATTATTAGTATTAGTATTGGTATTATTGTTAGTACTATTATTATTATTATTATTATTATTATTATTACTGCATCATTACTGTAGTCAATATTATTATTGTGATTAATATTGTTTCCTGTCATACTCACGGGTTCATTTCAAATGTTAGTTTGTATCTTTTGATATTACTCCTATAGATATATTGATTGTTGACAAGCCGTAGTAAGAGCTCTTCACGACTGGAATTCATGCTCATTGCATCTGATCTTGTAGATCGCGGCATGGAATGAAAAATTATAAGTTTCGTCTGAAAATTTGGACAATTCGATATGATAGGATTATAGTTTTATTTGAATTCGTATTACGTTCAGCTTGATGGAGAAATCTTGTTTTGCCGTTAAACATGCAAAATTGAGTACTTAAGTAACAGATTGCATACTTGAACTTCTCATTATTATGGCTTTAATTGTGTTGTATCAATGCAATGTTCTGATAAACGTTCTTGCTGCGTTGTGTTCGTCGTGAAGTAACACAACCTTCGTGGAAGCCTAAGCCTAGTGATGGCAAGAAATGCTTCTCATTATGTTGAATACTTTTTATTCGATGAAACATGAATGAATCGTTATTGTTTGAGGCGGAACGGCTACAATTGCAATCCGTTTCTAGTTTCCGGATTTTTCGTTCATTACAGAGGTTTGCAACTGCAAAAACGGCTCCGGTCGGGCTCTAAAGAAACCAAATGTTTCCTCTAGTTTGTATCGGTATCCTTTAACCGAGAAACAAAACATAACCTTGGTGACAAAATCAGCGTATTGGTGTCATCAATATGACACTTTCAAACTAAGGGGGGATTTCTTCTGACAGTTGGGCTCGTGCTTTGCCACAGTCACGAGTTTGGAACAGGGATTCTGGCACACAGATCATCGGAACAGAAAAACAGTCACGATAAGTTGCTAAACGATGGCAATTCTCTAGTGAGTTTGTGTCATTTCAAGTTACTTTCTACGAGAGTACCGTAAAGTATCATGACTGTCCTTTTAAACTTGAGAGTAACTGAGAAACGGTCGCAGCAGTGTCAAATGTTATTGCGCACAAGTGTATATAATTCGAGTGGAGTTAATTTTATCTGTATGAGTTACGATTGTTGACTCATGTATCAATCTCAGTTATATATGAGTCTCAAGCAGTTCAAATTGTTCCCCATCACAGCTCTAAAAGTCGATTGCTCGAACATATTCACGTATCCGCTCTCTTCCACTGAAGATCAAATTCTTCTAGGTGGTGCCTGCCTCAACTTCTCACGCTTTTGCACTCTGTTCCCCATATAATAAACTGCCATTCCTGCACCCCCCCCCCCCCCCCCCCCCCCCCCCCCCACCCCGTCGTCCCACCAACAACCCATACTCTGTTATTTTTCAAAGACAAGTCAATAAAATCAAGAAATTGACCCATTGATCATGCAGTTTGCTGTCAATAATTCGTCGGCTGTATGCAATCAACTTATGTTAAAACAAGCAATTCAAAAACACTGGCACAACAGTGAAAATAAAATCAATCAACCGTGATTTGCATTTTCCTCGACACTCTTCAGTTGCACATAACCACTAGTCTGAACAGTTATCTGAACCAAGAATCTCATCAGAGAGCACGGTAAAGTCTGGTTTTTATCGAATACGAAAATAGCATCGCAACTCACGTCAAGCCATATATAAATGATCAAACAATTGCTTACTATATCGATCAAGCGCAAGTAATCTGCTTTGAACACGATTTATTGAAATGAATGAATCTGATAAATGTTCATACCTTCAATGATATCACCCCCTCCTCCCCACACTAATTCTGCTCTTCCAAGCCATCGATGTTTTCCGTAGCGGTTTTGAATACACCCGCATACTGTAGAGCCTGTTTATAACAGCGACCCAGGCGATCAATGCTACGCGCTGCTCGGCTCTGCGTGCGTACGCGTGCGTGTAGAGCGCGTCGCGTGCGTACTGAGAAACTCTTTGACGATGCCGCACTGAAAAGGGCGATGTGTGCGTTGAGGTCGCGCCTGAGATTGTTCGGACTTAGGGTTGACCAGGGTTGGGGTGGTGGTGCGGGGTGGGGAGTGCTGAGCCCGAGGGTGGGTGGTGGGTTGGGATTTGTGGGGTTGGACTGGTGCCAATTGTGAGTATCTGTTTGTTTTTGTGAATCGCGCTGTGGTTGACGGTCATCGTGTGGCGGAATATGCTTCGAGAGGGTTGCGTTAGAGATGAATGCAATCTGAATAATTATAAAATTTTTGTGTGGGTTATTATCAGTGTGATGATGCTCGAATTTAGATACGGAATGTGCGCTTGGTTAAGTCGTTTCACTGCATGCAAATTATTGGTTATCGTATGTGCAGCCGGTATGAGCTCTTGTTATTGCGCCTCGGTTGTGTTCAGCCTTGTTTTGTGCATCATTATTATCGCAATAATTGATAGAGTTATCGATTTGTTGCTGCTTGATGTTACTGTTTTGTTTCAGGTTCAGGTCATTTAACCATTCGACTGTACGTATTTTCATTGATTGTTTAATGTTGATTTAAGCGAAATACGAGAAGTGGAGTGTAGTCAAAGCGAATTGCTGAGTTAAGTTCTTATTCGATGCAGTGATCAGTTGGTGTCATCAGAACGTGTGAATAATATTCGAAATTTTGAACAGTATACATGCATTATAATGCAGTAATAAGCATGTATTATATTCGAATGAGAGCACGATAAAATGATTCTCGAGTTTAGATATATTCTCTATATCCCAGTTTTTTATTTCAGCCTTGAGTCCATCGGTACGTTTTAATCGATAGCGAAATTTGGTCTGTTTTGTACCGTTTGTGCAACACGTTCAATTTTGCAACGTTTTTCGTATTCTGAGTTGACTTATTGTAATATTAATCAATAGTCTCAGATAAGTTAAATTATTACTTTGCTTTGAATTGTAAGATTAAACTTAGCAATAATAATAATAATACTGAATGCACTTTTAATTATTCGTCCTTGTGTACTTTTAGTTTTGTGTCAATGAATGTATCGTTTTAACGGTGTTTTACTGAAATACATATCTTTCGTTGTGAATGACTGTGATGGACAATATTCTGTTATTCAACACTTCAGTTGTTTACGATGTCGTTTTCATTAATTGATGCTACTGTTGAAAGCTAATATTTGCAGCGATTGAAGACATTTAGGTTTGATTCGGTTACTATCATTGATATGGTTCGTAATAATTGATTTATTCGTTAAAGTATTATGTGCAATCAGATCATCAAATGTTGCGTCGTTCATTGATTTCTGAATAGAGATGTGGCGATTTCAATTAATTATGTGCAATTAATCGGTTTTAATTGCACTTTACTCGATGGAAGGTTGAATGCGTTGATCAATGGAGCATTTGTGGTGAATGATTTATCATCAATTTGTTGCCGTCATTCGTTTAGTATTTTTAAGAATTTTAATGCATTCATTTCATTCGAATACCTCGATCTGTTTCTTCAGTCCTGCTGGGTAAGTTTCCTCTAATCTTATTTCACTTCTCTCTAACGATTCATCATCCCTTCCATATATCTTCTCATTTACGGCTTCATTTGTCCTCATCTTATTAGTTCATTTCCATCATAATAGTGAAATCCAGTGATCATATTAGGTTAGTATCATCCGAATCTGCATAAGCTGAGTATTACATGAAGTTGGTAGAGCCATTTTCAAAGAGCGGAAGGCTTAAGTTTCTTGCCTTTTGAAAAATTTATGAGATTGATGTACTTTTTGGGAATTTCCGAGAAAACGCACTTGTCTGAAAAATTTTGAACCGAGAAATTGAGTTGTTACGATTGGAATTGACCCGCTCTTACATCCAGATATGTTTCTTTTAGTATATTATTCATTCACCAACTCTCTGTTATCAACCGTATTTTTGATTACAGTCACATAAGATATTATTTGTAGATTTATAATGATTATATTATTTTGCTGCAGTGTACCATATGTATCGAGTGGATAACATAGGAATTATTATAATTGGCGCTTGAGAGTATATTCGTCTTTAATGTTCCGACTCAGGAATGGGTGATCTGATAAGGTGCAACAGTTATGCGATTCCAAGTAAGATGCGGATGTATCACTGAATTTTCTATCTTTGATCAATGAATACCAGAAAAAGTTTACTAGTTTTGATTTAGATGAATAGAACTCTGTAATTCGTTCGTAGACAGTTGTGAGCAAATAATTCTGTCTGTTTTGATTTTACCACCATTTTATCGGACGAACTGAACCCATTCCGAAAGACTGTGCACTTGTCTTGTTCAGTTTGTTCTTGTTTTTTTTCAACAGATCTACTGTTTTTGTCTTGTTTTTTTGCGATGAAATTTCTCGGAAGCACTGTCGAAAAGTTTTTATTCAACTTACTCGTTACCATTTTTACAATAACATTGTGAATCTGTATGAACTTTTCTTCAACGTCGAATTTATGCGCTGATAGCTGTAATCATAGTTATGTGAATCACTCATCCTGACCATCATAGTTACTGAAATGGATCCATTAATTAATTTTCGTGGTCTGCAGAGTATATTACTTTCATAGTTGGTGTTACTCTTCAGTTTTTATACACTGAAAATATTCATGATGGATGTATTTATGAGCATCATCAACCATTATATATTTGTTAAATTCTATTTTCGCTTGGGTTATGAATTTTTTTTAATTATTTAGCTTTTTGTCGCCGCTAAAGTAACAAATTAATCACACATTTTGTTGCGTTTGTTGAATTCTGCCATTTCCGAGTAAATGATCATCAAATTCATTTTACATCCTTGTATTGTTGGCTTCACTTCAATCTGATGCATTGTTTTTGCATTCTTACGTTTCAATAATAAACTAAATGTTTCGAATCAAAATTAAAATCAGCTTATCTGTGCACTCTAATGTGTAATTTACGTGAATCAGTGAATCACCCGTAATTTGTTGCAAACAAGCAATGTTGATATTGGATTTTCAAAAAGATTTTTAAGATCATAACATATCTACATCGACGTTTTGACCCGAAGTTTACGAGGAATTAGCACTAAATGAGATCATTTCGCTCGTTCATTTCAACGCTAGGTAAATGTTCGTTCCGATGCAAGTGATCGACTTTGGGCTGTTCAAATCAGCTTCGTGCCTCATCAAAAAGTACAGAAGCTTGATATTGTACATCGGTCTGTGCGTTAGAGGCCGAGTTTTTTCCCATACTCTTAGATGATGCGCACACGGATCCATTGAAAAAAAATTCAGAATCGATCACATTATTTAAATCATCCTAATCTTCTGCAGTTACAATGTTGATTTTAATTATCAGTTCACAATAAGCCATATTGTACGGAAAGATCAAAATCGCTTGTCTTCATTATTTATAGTTAAGTTACTTATTTCCTTTTCTAGATATTATTGTTTGTGAATATATAATATTATTACATCATGTCATATATGGCAATTTTTAAATCAAGAACTAAATTCATCAGTTCCCATCGTGTATAAATCTGCGAATGCAATAACTTTATGTATGCCATCCATTCTAATAATTTTTATTAAACAATAGTAATTGCGTATTATAACCTAATATTTTTCTTATTTCCATTATTTTTCATTTGCTGAAAATATTCACCGCTCTTATATTCTTTCTAGAAAATGTTACATTTTTATCAATCAGATAGCAAGATTGTATATGTTTTATGATTGTTCCGCCATCCATCAAACTTAAATAAGTAAACTTCTACCACTGAATTCAGTAATCGAAAGCGTTCTCCGTACCACTTGAAGTACGTTCATCAATCTAGTAGTACCATGTAAGCTTTCTTCTTTTCAAACGATTTTTTTCTTTTGTCTAAATGGAATTTGTTCAAGAAGTTTCAAACAGATATAACGAATGAGGTCTTATTTAACTTCTTCAGGCAGTCTTATTTAACTTCAGTCATTTCTAAGCTGTTGAAAAAACTCATTGATTTCCGTGATGTCTGTTATCTTTTTTGCTCGTTGCATAAATATAAATATTTGATGTGATCAGTCAGCAAATACGTCATTTACTTCAACACACACACACATCGGTGGATCTGAACGGACGTACCCGACCGTACAAAAGAAAATGTACTTAAAAGGATAAGCACAATGTTTTCATTGAAAGCTTTGATATTTGTCTTTGATAGAGGTTGTTATTAATTAATCTTTATACAGTTATTCACCCCAGGCTAAAGATAATCAAATGATGGGTTTTTCTTTGTTTTCAAGATGGATGTATCATGATTGGATTGTGCTGTCAGTGTTTGTTGACAAAGTTGTGGTCAACCTATAAGATACTCCATCAGAAGACTGAGTATAGAAAGTGGATTATTGAGAACCTGCATGAATGATCCGATCAAATGAGTGCTAGATCTGTGTCCGATAGACACCGATTGATGTATCGCAGGGAGCAGCGCTATATGTGCATGCTTCTGCAATGTTGACTTCGTGAGCCGTCAACGATGGGCTAAATCCATCTTCTTGACACTGACGATGACCAACAACTAACAAACGCATGTTGTTAAACAGAGTTAGTCTTGAGCTATCGAAAGAATCTGAGGAAGTGGCTCATTCTTCTTGTATTCGTCAATGAATGTTGTACTAGCATTTTCATTATTTATGCAACCAATCTATATTATGATCATACTTTGTACATTCATGCTTTTAACATTCATTTTGTTCTATATTCTCGCGTTTATAAGAATTTCTACTGAACCGCAGCAGATGGATTTTGTGTTTACTTAATTCGAAATTTTAAAATTGCATGTTATGCTTATTGCTTTGATTTATTTATTTGTTTATTTGTGAATATTTGTATTTGTTTGTGCATATTTGTTATTTTATAAAAATGATAGGTGTTGCTAAATTCGTTGAAGTTAGTTAAATTTCTGTCTCACACATCTTGGTGCAGTTCTGATTATCTTATACGTCGATTGCTGTCCGATTTAATGTGTTTATTAAACAGTATTCCAATGATATTCCATCTTCAAATTTAGGATTCACGTGTTTGATGAGCGTTTCATTTCGGTGGTTTAACCTATAATAATCTTCACGTTTTAATGTGAGTTTTTTCACTTTATTTTTCATCTTGTTCCTAATTTTCATCTCTCAACATTACCAAATAATCATTTCTGAAGTTCTAATACGAAATTTGTGTTAAATTCAGAACTGATCACATCAAGATTATAAATCATTCGAAGCGTATGACCAGTATCAGTCCATGAATAAGTAGTTATTTATAAAGTGGTACATAAGTGACTGTTTAAAGAGGAATTCAGCAATAGAATTGTTTTTTACAAACAGAGTAATAAGATATTGCATAATGATGATCGCAGTTCATGAGGCATATTGCAGAAGTGGATCCGGCTCTGAATGCCGTATGAACGAACAGTGGTCGTTGTCGGCGGGTGTTTGTGTGCAGGCGCAGTCTGAGCAACAGCGACAGCTCGCAGTTAGCCAGCAGCCACGTACCTCGTTAGCCTCCTTACCCGACACGAGTCCCTCATTTCAACTTTATTCCGCCACTCGTTCACAACCAGCTTCCTCCACCTCATCCTCATCACCTCCGCCAAGCGGAATTCTCCGAACATCGCAGCATTCCCTTCTTCCTAATGGGCTTCCGTCCAACTCCACTCTCACCACGCCTAGAAAAGGTAGATCAATGAATTCATAAACAGTTCCTATTTTTTGTTCATGGCTATATGGAGGTTGATTGAGCTTTAGCGAGTTTGTTGATTGATTTTTGTTACATTAGAATCCATAAATGAATGTATATAAATTGTTCAGTTGATTGATTTGCCACAAATTTCTTGTAGCAATCAATTTTGAGGTTTTATTATCATGCGAAGTGAATGATATGACAGACAGAATCGCTAATTGAATCACTTATCTTTGTAATTTAATGCGTTTGATTGTACGCAAAAAACATTTGCTGAATTTCGTTTACGGTAAACAGTCTACTTTAGTCATTTTCTACGAAAAGTTCACAAATGAATCACATTGGATATTGTGTTTCTAATCTTTGAATAGAAAGCACGTGATGTGATGTCAGTGGAATCGTTGAAAAACTACAAACTCTCTGTGGGTGGTCCAATGATTTGCACTAACCGAGACTAATATGAGTAAGAAGCATAAGAGCATCATCGATTGCATTGCAATGCTGAAGGCGGCGGATTCGTTGTGGTACGACAGAATTTGCTGAAAGTTGTTGGGAAAATATAATTGGATAATATAGCGTGGTGGTAGTTATTGAAGTGAGGGAGCGTGACACCTTTTGGATAATGATATTACAGTTGGAATACAATTTTGTAGGCGAAGAAGCTGAGAAGGATAACGATTGTTTATGTGTAGCGACATCAAGTAAATCAGCAACAGCCGCAAATGATAACGATAAGACACTAGTGAATAATAATTCAGCAACGACCGTATCATTGAAGTCAAATTGTGGTATATTGGAAGAACACCACCGTCGTCCATCATCCCCGCAGTCATCTTCTGCTACTCATCTCAACAATAACAATAATCGTTTTTCACGGCGTCGTTTGCAGTTCACACTCACCGCTAACGAAACATTTCGATTACGTCGTATTGCTAAATCACAGCCTTTAACATTACGTCGTTTAGGTAAATATTTATCATTGTTGTTATCGCTCTGAATTAGTGGATATGATAATGAATTGATAGATTTTGGCTGAAGGCGAAAATTTTGGCTGCATTTATACAAATATGGATTTTAGTGTAGAAACTTATACATGTTAACGATCATCTTTAAGGTATAACTTGGGTGCAAGTTGGTGATTTAGACGCGATTAAGGTTGTACCAAGTGCAGCTGCACTCAGATTACAGCAGTTACCTCGCCCTTCACCGGATGTGGCTGTGGTTGGAGGGGAAGCATCAACCAGTGATAACAACGCACGTGTACCGCCTATTTACGAGAATACTCGTTGCAACATTAATAATAATAATAATAACGACGGAACAAATCAACAGGTTTACGAAAATAGCACGTAAGTTGAAGTAATTATGCGATTTTGTGTTATTTGATATTCGCGGTGTTGATGTCTCATTCACACACCGATTTACCTCAAAACGATTATATTTCGTCACATTTAAAAATAACTTGTTTCGAATGCAAGACGAACGGCTCAAAATAGAAAGATAAACATGAATACTTTGATTTCCACTACAAATTTTGCACAGCTTCATTTTCGAAATTATGATGACAGTGGCATAGAGCACATAAATACTTCTATAAGTGGATGTTCATTTCAATAAGATGAGCTATTTGTTGCAGTGAAAACAGTGATCTTGGACACGATATGATGATGCCTTCTACGTCGTCCACGTACGGTGGTCCAACCCCATCATTATCAACAGCGGTGAAGCGGAAATCGTTTGAAATGGCTGATGGAGGAGGGGGTGGAATGGTTGCGTCATCAGCGGGATCAGCGAGCCGCTCGAACTCGAATACTTCGGTGGGCATGAGTCCGTCTAGTGGAGGAGCGGGGTGTATTGCCACCGGTGGTGTATGTTTATCACGTTCGAGAACACACCATGAACAGCAACCGTCTTGTGGCAGCGCTTCAACATCATTGCATACCCATCCCGTCGGATTGTCATCCGCAAATGTCAACAGGCAAAACACTTCATCATCATCTTCTCAAAATATCAACAATTCGAGTCCTTTATTGGTGAATTTACTGAGGTCAGTCATTTCACAATGCTTCGCGCGATCAGTATTCTTTGATTTGTTGATGTATATAATGTGTGTAATACAGCTGTAGAAGTACATCACCAGGCGCGGGCGCCACTATGGGTGCTTCACAATCAGCAATTCATATGCAACAACGTGCGCCAACCACATCGGTTGCTCACCACCCTACCCCTTCATCGCAGTCACAGCCTTCTTCTGCGGGTATGTAATTGTTCGATCATTATTGCTCGGCTCGTAATCATCACTCATCTGTAACTGTAGCCTATTCAGGTTACTCACCCTATCCTTACATGCCTCCTCGTACACCAATGGCATCAACGCCAACTGGGGCACCACCATCAGCAGTAGCACAGATTCGAGGATCAGCACCAAACGGATCAGGTGCAGGTGCTCGTGCACCATCAGCAGATTTGGTTGTACAACAACAGCAACAAATGCAGCTGCAACAGCCTTCTTCATCAGCACATATGCAACAACAACACTGCGATCAACAACAGTCACAGTTGATGCAACAGCAGCAGCAACAAGTCAGTTGATTGACTCTTCAAGAAAGTTCATGCCAAGAACATGTTATGATTTATAGATGAATGTTGAAAGACAACGTCAGATGATGGTCACACAGCAACACAACTCTCAAAATAGTCAGCAGCAACAACAAGTACCTCACCAGCAAGGAGGTTATTACCCTCCTGCTGCGCAATACCCTCCACCTCATCCTCAGCAACAACGTGCAATTGCCTCGGTTAGTCGAATTTAATTCTCTGATATGATATATTTATGGTCTGTGACGGTTATCTTCAATTGTTTAGTTAAATAAACATTTCAGCTGCTTTGATTCATTATTGTTGATAAATAGTGAAAGTGTGAATGAATTCTATTTCAAGCTTTTTTTATCTTTGAATGCATGAGGTATTGTGTGGTTTTATATAATGGAAGTGATGCTGCAGGGTGGTTATGTATTACCGCCTGGAGGTGCAATGGTAGCAACTAGTCATGCTCAGCAAGGGGCTGTTTTGTATGGCACATCGTCTCAACCTCAAGGAGTACGTGCATCGCCATATGCGCATATGCAACAACAAGCACCGCTTACGCAACATTCTTTACCACCAACGCATTATCGTCATGCCATTCCGAACGAACAGGTTAATAATGATTCACTTTTTTTGCATAACTTCCTTTTGATTGCAATTAAATTGGGTCTAAATGATGAATTTGTACAGATAATATCAGCACCACCGACTAAAAAACGAAAAAGAACCACGAAAAAGCAACAAAAAGAGGCTGAGATGGCCGCCGCTGCACACCAGCAACAACAGCAGCAATATATGCTTGAACAGCAACAACAGCTCAGTGCACGTGTACCACCTACAAATGCACATACGGTTGATAGGCCCAACATGATATCTCAGGTATGTCGGTTGATTGCGTGATGTGATCATAGCAGTGTTCAGTGTGAAGCATTGATGTGTTTGAGGTGATGCCAACGAATATGGTTTACGCACCTGCCCCACCCTATCCAGCACCGTCAACTATGCAGCAGTCACCCTCTGTATCGTCTGCATCAGCTACTTCTCAAATGATGCAGGTGTGTTCATTACTCCTTTCCATATTAACTGATAATCATATTGAATTTCATCTCATTTTATCAGTTTCTCCATATAGCATTCAATATTACTAGTTTTTATTTGCATGTTGTTGATGGTTATGGCCTAAGAGAGAAAATTTTTCCTCAGCCAAGTTTTGGGTATGTTCTTGTTGGTTCGTTTGAATTTCGAATACTGTTACAGAGCCCTCCTCCAAACGCTATCTACTACCAAGCATCGCAGCAACAGCAACACATGTGGAACTCGCAACAACAGCATGTAAACTTTTAATGCTGATCTCATTTCAGTCGAATATTCCGTTCTCGTCGTATCTTCATTACACTTAACCATTCACTACCGTTGTATACTTGTCAGATGAATTTCAAACTATTGTTGAAGTTTGAAATATGCGCCAGATAAGAATACTTTGGCATTCTGGAGGGACTGATAACTCAGTGAAAATTTCAAAGAAACAATACAAAAGAATGATTGGTGGTAAGAAGTGAACACAAAGTTGACTAATGTGTTGATAATGAAGATGATGCAGTCGCGTGGACCCGCACAACAGATGGTGCAAGCGCAGCAACAGCCGCAGCATTCTCAAGCTACAGCACCACCTCCCCAACAGATGTCGTCGTATCATCCACAACAAATGCAACAGCAATGGCCCCCTCCTTCCACCCAACTCCCCTCTGCCCCACAGAGGATTATTTATCCTCAATCCGATAACGGTGATTCGTAGTTCCTTTCTTCCTCCTCTTCTTCTTCTGCAAAATTGTTCTTTTGAAATGTTAACGCATCGTCAAATAATTCTCAAATGTTATTTTGGAATAAGCAAATCCTCACAAAAAATGTGATCGCCATAAAGGTTGAATTACTGCTCTTTTCGGAGCGGTTTCAATAAATTACGGATAGGATATGTTTGTGGAAGTGATCAAATATGAGTTTAAATTGAAGGAACGGAAATGACACAGTCAGCGAATATACGGCAGTCACCGATCAACGGTAGAACTAATTCAATAGATTATTCTTCACCTACATCACAACAGGCAAATATTAACACTATGTCTCCTCTGTATCATCAGCAACAACAACAGCAACAACAGGTCTGATCTTTCAGTTATTAAACGTATGTGTTTGAATTAAATTATATCATTCATCATTATCCTTTCAATATCTTATCTGCGTTTGTTCTTTTTCATGTTCTTTTCGAGCAGAATTATCGTTATATGAAACGGTAAACCAGGATGCGCATATTGAAAACACTTGGTTTTCGAATGAAGAAATAAGCGGATCTGACCAACGTCTTATTTGATTTTAATTGATGAAGATGATAATGATTCAGCAGCAACAGCAAAAACAACAACACATGTTATATCAGCAACAAATCACAACAAATCAACCAACATCATTATCAGTAAGTATTTCATATACTCAGCAGTCCTCAAGTGGTGGTCAGCAACAACAATCTGATCAATCCCAGTCGAAAACACCATCTATTATGGACACTGGCAGTGATTTTGGAATGCAAGATGATCTTGGTGCGAACATTGCTGATGACTGTAAGTTTATTATTCATTTTATTTGCATCAATCAATAATTGCTAAATAATGAATGAACAAGTAGAATGTTTAGATAGATGGTTCAAAGTGAAATCAGAATATTCGCCTTATTTAGGTGGCGATTTCAATGATTTGGATTCAATAGAACCAATGACCGAGTCTGGAGATGTGGGTACAACCTTAATGATTACACATCAACAACAAATGCAACAGCAACAACAACAGGCCAATTATACTCCCCAGAATTATGTACAGAATACGTCAGTATCGTCGTCGTCGTCAGCCAGCAATTGTTCGCAGCATCAAATGCTCTCTTCATCTCCGTCGAGCGTTAATAATTCAACTAGTATCACGAACGCTGCCAATAATCAGTCGAAGTCATCACGACGACCAACTTATCATCAACAACAAGCCGCGAACTGTCAAGGTTTTGCAGCACCGTCCTATTCAATGCAGCCACAACAACACAACGCTCGTGTACACAGTATGTGCACTGCGCAACATATCTCATCAGCAGCTCAGCAACCACAGTCCATCAATTATGCTCAGCAACAGCAAGCCACTTCCTTCTATAACATCCCCTCAACACCACCTTCTTCAACCACACCACCTCAAAATCGTCGTTGTTCCAATTCTTCATCACAAGTTGCCACAACCCCTTCACCGATTTTAAATCAGCAACAATCGAATCGTCGTTTATCTGACGACTCGTCGCAATCATCACAGCTCGGTTTGTTCATTTCATTTCAGTCGTTCATTTGATGCCAATAACACCAACCTTATTTCTGAAGTGCATAATTTATATAATTCTAATAGTGAATTAAATTGAAGAGGAATGCAGTGGCACATCAATGCTATCCTCATCTGAATCAACCAGTATGATGACAACAGAGCGTGAAAAGGACCCTATCAATTCTACTATTGGTACTTCTTTCTCTTGTTATGCTTCTCGCAGTTATGCATATAACACCACTGAAGTAGCGCTATTGTTCCGAGAAGAAAGTTAAATAAGCTTATTCTCGGTGTAAAATGCATAATTCCAAGCTTATTTTGGTATCTTTTTAAATATGTATGAAACGTTCCCAAATTGTTTGTGTAAAGTTGATTTGCAGAATCGGTAGTAATGCGCGCTTTGTGTGACCAAGATGCACTCAATAGTGCGTCATCCACAACTTCGTCTTCGAGTAACAGCACCACTAATACTAATCGTTCGACACTGCAGCGGTCAGCACGCAACGCTAGTATGCTTCATTCAACATCATCAAACGATCCGAATGCAAATTCAGGTCACTATATGCTTTTTATTTCTTTTCTTCCAGCACTCGTTCGTTCTTACCGGATGCAACACTACTAATGATCACATTCCAAATGCCGAAAGTAATTCTGATTTTGCACAATTTTATCCCGGTCGGTTGTTTCGTTTAAACATAATAAAGTTACGTTCATTCGTTTATTTCAGGAAAGGTGATGATGGGAAGTGTAATGAACTGTGCTGCATCTGTTCCATCACTAAAAAGACAAAGCAGTCAACAAGCATCAAGAGCAATTGGTGATTATTTATCTGTCGATTCTAGATTAGTTTTGTAATTGGCCATCATCTAACAAACACATTTGGATAGAAAATATACGACAAAAGATGAATGGATGGTTATTTTAGCGCAACACTGCTCCTCGCAGCAAATGGAATCATCATTAAATGCGACGGTGGAGGTTGCGTCGTCCTCATCAGCTACGATCAGTGCCAACGAGACATCGTCGAATCAAATGATCGGGCGACCAGCATCCGTGGATGGTTCAGGTCGATTAAGTTCGGGTGTTGCCATTGGTTCGAACTCAAGCTATTCATTGAACCAACATCATATCATTGCTACTACATCCACCGCTGCAGCGCATATCTCGACCACTCGATATTCAACACCAGCAACGTGTTCTTTTGGTATAAAATTAATTTATTCTCATTGATGGGGAAAGAGCAATGTTGTTATCGTATTGTTTGAAGGTGTTTGTGAAAGCAGCGAGAAATCAGATATGGCATTTACAAACGGTCAAGAAGAGTGTGGAAGTGATGTAATAACGAATAATGTAAGTGAGCAACAACGATTCAATAACACAACTCAGCATCATCTAACAAACGGACATGATCCTCATTTAATTAAGGTTTCTATTCATTCATTCTTTCGTTGAGTTTGTATTAGCTTTTGTCACTGAACTTTTAGTTCGCTAAAGGAATAATCATACAGAAAGAAGTTGTTATGTGTGCTGTTTAGCATTATGACTTATTTTATTGTTTCGCACTGGTTTATTATGTCAAAAAGTTGAAGGAATTTTGTTATGTGCAACCTCAGCAGCAACAACCGAATGGACTGTCGAACTCTCTGTTGAACAATGATCAATCGCAGCAATCGCATAAGACTACAGCACGTCGAAATCGTCGTAGGACAGATTTATCTCAGGAGGCGTCGCCACATCGTGGTACTGATGACGATGATTTCGTTATTTCCGCTAGCACTAACACTCAACGTTCGTTCAGAATTTCATTTTATTGGGTCATTTTCTGAATATTCATACATGGAAGCCAATTAATGCAGTTATTTTGATTTGATCCTTATTTCATTAATTATCGATAGCATTCCGTTTTCTTTCAGCAGCACATGGTGATCCTATTGAAGTGAATCTTACATTTATGCAATGAGAACAAGTTTTAGCGATACGTGCCTCATCGTTTACGAGACGTGTGAGTATTGCTGGTGGTGTTGTGATTGGCTCAACGGGTGCTGCCACAACCCCGTCGCAAACACCAACAACAAGCACTCATTTTGGTGGCGGTGGCACGATTGGGGTTGGCGTTATGTCCGTTCAAAATGCTCAGAATAACTTCTCAGTGGCAGTTGCTCGACAGCAACAACACATAATGAAACATCAGGTTATTCGTCCCTCGGTCGTTCTTGAATAATATTAAATTGCTCTTTGCACTTCACTTTAATTCAGTTAGCCAAGTGCTATGGTTTGCTCTCAAAAACATGTGTGAGAGTGTAAATAGCTTTTACGTTCGTTTAGAGTTTACGATTTATGTTTTACAGCCGAAGACATCATAGCAGCAAATTAGTGATAACATCTCGATGGTTTCGACCATGTGTCTTGGCTGTAAATAGAAGTATGTGGCGAAGTTCTGTGATCTGATGATGATTATAACGTTTTATGGCATTGCAGTCAGATGAAATTTCGTAGAAATATTCTATTCAGACCGTTATTATGCTAGTAATAATCAGAGAACAAAAAAATTATTGGGGTAGTTGATATTATGCACAACAACACTGAACTGCAGTTGCGTCCAGAACCGGTGTTGTATTTTATTTGTTGGTGAATAGAGATGAAACACTGCTCTGCAGCGCTATTGCAGTGTGTGCCATTCTTTTATTGTTGGTCATTATTATTGCGCAAAATGTATCTAACAATCTGTCGGTATTTCTAATATTCATCTGTCTCTTTCGAACTATATCATGCCTTAGAGGTTATTTCCTCTTTCAAAATATACCCAATTCAGCTGTGTTGATCTTAATTATCGTCATTACTTATCAGTTTTGAACTTGAATTGAATGCGCATTATTATTATTGTTATAATATCTTGCGGACTCTTATGGTATCATCGTTTCAGCAATTCAAATTTTCGTTCATTCATAACCATCTAGGATATCAGGTAATCCGTTCACGTTTGACGTAGCGATTCCAACGAAATCGTACCAGTTTTCTTGTATAGTTGATCGTCATTTAAGCGTACTATAAATAATCAACGTGACCATATTTTAATCTGGTAAGAACGAGTTGGAAATGTGATTTTTGGAGTTTACCTTTTTGTGTATTCATAATTTTTTAAAATGAAGTGTTTCGCAAGGAAGGTGAATCGATGGTACTTGAATACGATGTCAACACGATTAATCAGTTAATGTGTTTATTTTTGATTCATCGATCTCGTAGCGTAGTGTCCCGTCTAGGTTAATCTAAACTCAATGGATGATGCTCTTAAATCCATTCTCTTTGTTATGTTCTTCTCGCGTTCGGGCGTTTTTCTGTTCGAATAATTCTTGTTCAGTTTTTAGTATTTATATCGTCACTCGCTATGTTGATTTTTTGCTGTATATTTCAAATAAGTTGTCATTGTTTATTTCCTTTTGTTGTTATTGTAATTATCCTTTGTGGTCATGTTTGTCACGTATCGCCAATTTGAACATTCTCTTGTTTTCATCCAATTGTTTTGATGAACTGTTATTGTTGTGTTATTATTATCGTGTGTCACTTCAAGTTGAACGTGCATACATTTTAGAATGATTTGCGTGATGAATTAGTCCGTTTAATTTAACATTCTCAACTGATCCTCCACAGAGAAAAGTGATGTAATGTCTTGGTCGATTCTGATAAATTCGACGCAGGTTTTATTCGTCGAAGAAGTGCATTGTATAGAATTAAATTATCTGTATAATGTGATGTTTATTCATAATATTAAATTATTCCATATCCATTGCGAAATCTTTTCTGTCGGTTCTTACCAATGAATGCATTTAGCTACAAATCATTTGTTTACATTTATACTGAATGAAATCAGCGAGTGTAGTTGTGAACGCGCAATGATAATAATAATGGGATTAGCACAAATGGAGGATAGTTGAGCAATGAAATAAGATAGGTGTTTTGGGTGATTTGAAATGGTGCGTTAGAGTGTATTTGTTATTTGTGTTGCTGATTTGTAACGTTTTGTCAAGAATACTTTGTGAACAGTTAGTTGTGTTATATTATTTCGTTTGTATTTATTCATTAATTACTTGTTGTTATTGTTGTTGTTGATGAAGGGTAACGATAACGTCTTCTCTGAAGGATGCTCACATTAGTGTGACCTCACCTCATAATTTGCTTTGAACGAACGCCCGTGTGTCTCCTTCAAAAGAGTTCTTTTCAGATCGCTAGTTGGTTTAATAGATTATGCTTAGTTTCAATTTTGTAGGTTCACTCGGAATGACGCTTGAAGATGGCATTCATTCGTTTAGAAGTTTAGTAGTGTAAGCTAGTTGGAGATGAATCATTAAAACAACATCAGTGGGGCCTATTAGAGGATAATTATTTTCGAACGTGATTTACTATAATGGTTTGCACGTTTTTTTTTCGTTCAGTGCTACTGATCTTCATTCAGGTGTCTCTAATCGCTTTTTAATCGTATATTTATTCTGCCAGTAATTCTCAACTGTCTCTTCTCATAATCTTGCATCTTACGAATCCAACTGCAATCGCAGTTTTAATAATTCAATTTTCATCTCTAAAAATTTTCATAGTTCACATGAAAAGTTTCAAACGTAATGATGGCCTACAATGTACGATTAGAATGACATAGGCATATAACATATGGAAAAGTGGGCTGGAGATGCGTTGTTGTTGTCCTATTTTTTAAAAAATAATCAATTCATTTGTTCTCTCGGCAAATATGGCTCAGCGTTGACTCGTCTTCTGTATTCATTTCATTTGTTTATATTTGCTGTAGATTGGTTCCTCTCGGGACTATTTAATTACTGACAATAATAATGGGAAACCGTTCAAGCGTTATATCACGCCTCAGTCGTTCTCAAAGATCTGACCGCATTGATGGCCTATTGCCACAGAAAACGACTTTGGAATGGACTTCCGTTTTTAAGCGTATATAGTTGGATCGCTCATTAAATGAGTGAATATACATGTAAATAATAATGAATAGATTTGGTTTTGTTCGTGATTGGTTTAATTTCGAATGTTTTGATAAATGACATTATTTTGAGTGTATCTTATTTGCAAATCAATGCTTGCTCTTTGATCATTATTCGTAAGTGTTTGCTGTGAATATGAATGAGACTTTATTGAATTTAAGTGCATAAATTATTAAATTTGTTTTTGTTTTATGCACGCAATTCGCATATTATTTATTTATGTGTATGTATTATATGGAAATTAAAAACGATACGTAATTAATTCTCTTTTTACACCTTAATAATTACTTCAGTTAAGTTCACTTGATTATAAACAATCATTAATTATTTACTTGCTTATTCTTATGTGAAAAGAACACAAAGCTCAACACAAAAGTACTCAGTGCAAATTGATGAAACGCAAATAAGGGTCGACTACCTGCTACATGATATTGTTATAATATCACAACCCGAACGAATCAAAAACAATTTCTTAGACCTTCAAAATATCTACGCCTTTGTCTGCCACAACTCTCATCACCCTTTTTCTAAATGTTCACTCAAACTGATTCTAAGCTTTTTATATTCCCTCACTATCTATCGTTTTATTCGAGTCTACTCAAAAATCAAAACTACAGTGACATAAATAGAAATTAGTGTACAAAAGCCACAATGATACGATTGCAACGTTTATTTAAAAAAAAATTGGGATGATCATATGAAAAAGGAAACAACTAGTTAGAATGATATCAACATTATACAACGGGTAAATTCTACTCTGTTAATACATATTCACATATCTACATTCACTACGGCAACGACTAAACTAACGTAGGTTTTAAATAATGACAAAGAGAAGTTAATCTGATAAACTATAAAACTGAAACATTCATTCATTTGCAAAACCATAATTCGGCAATGAACAGCAAATATAAAGAGTTTACGAGTAATACCATCTTCTGTATAACCAAAATAAACAAATTCCTACAAGTATGATGTAACGCACTGACTAATTATAAGAAGAAAATATTCTGAACGTTTCATCAAAAAACCGTTCGTTTGTCACATCCGAACGAAAACCCGACGATAGCGAAATTCGATGAGAATTACTGACTTATGAAAGAATCGAATTCGATAAACAACAAGCGACCATTCATATCATTAAGATACTATTACACAAATTCATCCAATAATTCTCGTTTATTAAGGCACTAACTGATGGACAGCAATTACCTTTTGCCAACTGGAAGGTTGGATGGCTTAAGTTCATATTGATATCGGTGAACCAGTGATAACGTACAACAATTTATCATCCAATCACCGATATCAATATGATATTAATAATAACTGTACAAAACTGCAAAGCATATAAAAATATTACTAAATTTAATCTACTAAACAAGCATCACAGCCCAACCAAATGTAATCAGCTGTTAGTTCGAATTGTTCAAAGTTATAATTTTTTCTAGATTTTTACCAATCATTCGGTTTATAGATAACTTAAGACCTCGAAACAAAACCTGATGCGATCATCCTCTCGAAGAAAAACCTGATCAATTAAGAAACTAAAAAAAGAAAGGTAAGTGAAGTAATATTTTGATGATAAACACAACATACGTTCGAATGATATTATGATACATCATATAGGGCAGCATCATCCAACGCAACGATGAATTTTAAGTGGATGTGCAATTACCAGATGGTACACAACAAACTTGTTGCACAGTCGAAATAGTTGCTTGCTCTCGATGATTCAAATATTCCAATGTGACTGATATATCAAACTGCATATTCACATACAATGAAGTAAGACGTGAGAACGGCGCTTGACAATATTCACTGCAAGTTGATGCACTCAAAAAGTTCACCTAATAATCAAGTAAATTCTACCTTTAAATCATTCAATAGACTATTCTTATTTTCATTTATATGCATCGAACATAAACTGACAAAGATTGTGAGCAAGAAACAATGAATGCAAAAACTAACGCAACACCACCCTTCAACGTGACCGTATTATTGAACAGTATTAAATGTTTATTGCGAGAGCGTGGTGTAACTATAGTGGTAGTCGCATTATAACCATGACCAACCACATCACTTGACCACGGTTGAAATTTTGAAATTATTGTTGCTGATGAATTCACTACTCGAACCGAATAATAATTTGCATTCGATATATTTATCGCATTCTGGAAGTTACCTTCATTAAGTTTATTCCAGATTATTCATTATTCAACAAGTAGTAGCATAAATGAATATTAATTCGGAGAACGCTTTAGAATATCAGAGGATTTGAACATTTCTGGATCAAGATTGGATCGCCACGAAAAATACAGTTATAATGAAAAGGATGAAGATGAGAGGAAGCAACGAACCAAAAAATAAAAACTAATATGATCAGGATCATGATCGAAAACATTGATAATCTCAACTGGCGGTCGAATGCTACTTAAATCAACTGCTCGAGGTACCATCAAAAATATCACTCCTCCAGCCAATAACACACATATCAAAATACCACACAATACATACACCCATCTAAAATGCAAAAAAAACAATTCAAAATGCTATTCAAAACCTGAAAATTGAGTTGTTCGTTTTTTTATAAGATGAAATCAACGAATAGTAGAATGAATGAAAAATGTCATACGTTCGCTTCGGTTTCAGTCGATCATCGTTCACGGGAATAAGTGCAACCAACATTTCCTCCATTTCTATAATTACATCAGTGTACAGCTTACGTCCAAATCGCGAACATATCTCGATGACACATCAACAGAAGTTCTACATCAGTGATCATTCAGTAAATAAGTTACTCTCATCTCAATGCTTTCTTCAGTACAATCGAAATAATCACGTTTGAATTATTAAAAACCTTTTGGAATTCTTCCGGATCCCTTACAACTCGGACAAGGAACTGAACCACCCATCAATTCGGTGTAGTTAGCTGATGAAGTTCGTGAAGAAGAAGCGTTTTCATCAACAAGATTTGTTGTTGATCCATAAACGATTTTCGGTTCTTCATTCGAACCACTTCTTCTAAGAAGACGACGAAAACTAGTGTATAGTGAGTGAGCTTGCTCACTACAAGAATTCATTTTGCAGTAACGAATAATCAACGTTCTCAATCAATTCCTTGAGATTTAAATTTCGCCTTGAGCAGCACTGCAAACATTACTTTCAGTTTAGATTGATAAAATTGAAACTGCATCTCGTTCACAAATATTTCCAATTCAGTACATCGATGGGTTCAACAGGTTGTTAAAACGAGTAAACTTCAAACGGATGTGAAATATTAAAACAAAAAAACAAATGCAACTTCAAATAAGAAACACTAATCACTTCGTCTAATCCTAAGTTGATGTTTCAAAGATTCACATTTTAACTGCATATATAATGTTTGGAGAAGGAAGAATGTGATATTGGTGATAACGGAGAGGCATAACAAAAATACTTGCAAATAAATATGCCAATCATAGAGGTCTGCAAAATCGAAGACATCGCAAAGTAAACATGCCAACGATGTCTCAGCTGGTTCGGTTATGCAATGCGTCATCCATATCGTATCAATCATTTCATACATCGCTAATAATGAGTTGGAGAAACGCCGGGATGATCACATAAACTAGATACAAAACACTTCATCAACAATCACTGCTCCAGCGGTTTTTGGTCTCAAAGTATGGAACTCAAAGCGGTTTGAGTTCATCAAAAGCATGATCTTCAATAGAAAACAGCACTACAAGATCATACTTCAAATATTAATTGATTGTCGTCGAAATGTGCATACCTATGAGTATTTTAGAAGTGTAATACATTTCAACAAATCATTTCAAATATGAACGTAACAGTAAAGTTATTCCAGCAACAAATAACCTCGTTACAATGAAACTATTCTATTAACACAACATTTGCGTAATACTGAATTCAAAAATGTTAAAAACACGTCCTGATATTGATTGTCATAAAAAGTTAAATGACTTCAATGAACACATAGAAACGTATGCGTTCGCAATGCAGTATCATTTAGATACAAACTCGGAAGATTTCCGAAATAAAATGTTCACATAATTAATTACGAGTGAAATTGATTGAAGTAAACACCACATACTAAATATATGTGTAGAATAATTGAGACGGCTGGAATGATGTCTATCCTGCTTCTTCACTTAAGTGGAGGATGTTAAGTAAAGAAATGAGGCAATACTAAAATAATCACTAGATTCGATTCATTGAAACAGAACAGAATTGAAAAAAATGGATACGGAAATCCCTCTCTCTCCTCCGATCAATTAATCACACAAATATTCTTGAATTGATCGAAAAGAAGTAGGAACAATTGGCGAAAAGGCGGGCTTAGATGCTCAGTGCCAAAACTGAGCTGATGAGGTTGAGGGTGACTTGGTGAGGTTGAGATGTGAATGCGTTTTATGAAATTCAAAAGTTCAATCTTTCTTGAAATTCACAATCAAATACATTCACCTGAATAATTAACAATCTAAATGTAAATGAAATGATTACAATTGTATTTTTTAGAAAAGGATTGATTTTCCAATTGGTTTACAATCGATTGATCTCATTTTTCGTGCATAAAAGGACTGACGTCCTGGAATGTTGACTGACGTTGTGGAGTGTTCAAGAATTGCATTAAATTTGTAATCCTCTGTCGCTTCTTGAAATTGGGAGTGCTGATGCAAAAAAATCCCCTTTCTTTCGATAATGCGCATGCCTCAATAGATTTCATTGTGTTACTCATTTTGGTGGCATCACATCTTATACAAGTTTCTGATGAAGTGCAAACTGACAATGAGTATGGAGTCTAATAGTTTTTAACTCTCATCAAAATGTATTTAATCTCATATTTGTTCAAAAACTCAATCCACTGTACGATAATCTGCTCGTACATCAGTCACTTTATCCCGCAAGATTCCATAGGTTTACCCAGATCAGTTAAACGTTTATGTCAAAAATAATAGCAAATGAGGTGATTTTCTGATTCAACCTCTTATGCTCTTCAGGATGCATACAAATTATATTCAACCACTATTAGTGTCTTCAAAATTTGCACATATCGTTGGCGTTCGAAGATTCGTTGACAAGCATTTGATGAGAGGCTAGGGCGCAGACAGGCCAACGTCTACAGTGGCAAAAGGCAAACGTACCCTTCAAACGTCTCTCAGTTTTAATCTCTACGACAATTTGCTCGCGACAAGTGCTACTCGGACAATTTACACCGCGAAAGTATGATAACGCGTGCCTCATCATTGAGTAGCATGGTGCTTTTTGTCGGAGATAGACTTGTCCTAGACGCATTTGTTCGTCACCCGAAACCGTCTTCCATAATCATTCATGCGGAAGGAGTTCAGCGAATTTTTTGAAGAATCGAAGTGCATGATGCGGTGCTGTGCGGTGTATAGATATTCTTTGAACGATATATAAATTAAACTTGGTTGCGCAGTTTGAAGTTTATAGTGACAGTTTTTTTTGGGTTTCGGAATTTCTGAGGTTATTGTCAGTGAAGTGTGCGTTTGGTTATTGGAAAAATTTACTCGAAGTTTCGCTTAAAGTAATTAGTTTGAAAAATAGGTGGGTCAGCCTGTTGGGTGGGTCAACCTGTTTTTCACCCAAAGCGCCATGGCGTACAAGTTTCGGATTTTAAAATTTCCAAAGTGTCAATTCTCAAAAAGATACCCTTCGATGTAAAAATAGTTTCTGAAATTTCGCTTCACAAAATTAATCTGGAAGACCGTTAGGTCAAATTACTCTTTTACGAAATAGTAAGGCGTATAAGCGCCAATTATAGATGATACGACTTTTCAGCGTAATTTCTTTCGATGAATCTCACAGAGGTTTTCTCCAGTGAAAAAGACGTGGTTTTGCGGCGGCGATATTAACTTAGTGAACCGCAAGGAAACCTTTCCAAGCGGTTTCACTGGGACGCATGGATTAGTTCGAAACAGAAATGGGTTGTTCACCGCGCACTTTCGACCCTCACCTCATTTGTTCTCAACATGCCGCTGAGAGATGGTCGCCGCTAGCAAAAATTTCTCTGATCACATTTTACAATCCTGATTAACTTTGTCCATCAATGATTAATTAATTGTTTGTTATGTGACAAAGAGCGTATCCAGTTTTTTTTCCATCGGGGAGAAAGCGCAAAGAGGATCTGGGAACCGTCATTTCTCAATCCCTTTCTTGCATCTCAGTCTTATTTTGCTCGTGAAGCCTGCAAATTTCATGTCCATGAAGTTGCGTCACATGCCATCCAGATCTCGATCCTACATTTTGCAAGTTTGAATGATCTGTATCGCGTGAAGGGAAACTGACCCCAAACTGATAGTATTTATGGTTATCTTGTAATTGATTTGCTTATGAAAGCAGTTCGAGCTGCACACCAGTGTAAGCTGAGGTTTTCTCTTGCCTTCATCCGAATTTTGCCAGAGGAATCAGCCTGAGGCTTATTAGAGGTTGAGGCTCGCCTCGGATATGCATTGAGGCCTGAGGTGCAAGGTTGAAACTAATCCAGAGTTCTCGAGCTTGAGCAGAATTCCAGAGTTTTTTTATAAACACATCAACAACGACATTACCAAACATCACATCCAGATTGATAGGGTAATGAAAAGTGGTAAACCTACTTACCCCACAACGGGTTCCATATTCCTACTAACAGCTACGTTATCTCTTTCTCTTCCTTCCGCCCTGTCAAATTTCTAATCATTCTTGAAGTGAGTTTTCATAGGTTTTTAATTCATTCATCAAAAGTTTTCAACTTTCGTGAGTAATTTTTGCATCCTTTCTAAATCCCATAAAGACGGTTTGCACTGATCACTGGATCCAGAGGATGAGGAAGCCAAAAGTATGATAGAAACATACCGCCGTAATAATGAATTAAATGAGTAGGAAAGGCAGGTGTGTTTTTATTGCTGGTGGGTCTGTCAGACTCAAACACCGTACGTGTAACCAAAATGTTCACAGAGTATTTGCGGAGTGAAGTGTATTGCTGTACATGTTGTTCGCCGAAAACAAGTTGCAACATGCATGATTTTTGCTGATGAATGCTGACAATAGGGCTTACAGATGTAAAGAGTGCATAGCGGTTGATTCAACTTCTAGTGCTCATAGGATAACGTTGGGTAGTTTTTCATCCGTGTATACACTTCTATATTTTCCTAAACCTATTTACCAGACATTTTGAAGACGGACGAGCTCTTTATAATGGGCGTTCATGTTTCTCTTTATTTGATTGTGATTATCGCTGAATAGAAGAAACAGTCGTCAGAATATTTACGGATAATGCTTTCAGTGCGTTCTGATTCATAAATGTGCAATCATAACTGCACAACGAAGACATAGTATGGAGCATAGTGAAGAACAAAGTAATATCAGACCATGTTCACCTCAAAGCACTAGTGAAACAAGTGACAGATCTGTTGACCCAAATGGAATGTTTCCATTGATGTGCTCTCAAGGTGATAAAGAAAAGGTTATATTCATAACTTTTTGTGTAATGTTGCATATTGAAAATACTATTCGTTGCAAACTCAGATATCATTTTCAGGTAAAAAGAGGAAGATTGGAGAAGTTGCGGAAAAAGTCTGAAGAATACGAAAGTCCTGAAGAAACCGAGAAAAAGTCGGGTATTATATATTTCCAATCATTGCCTCCTCTGTTTACGGTGTCGAAAATGCGAGATGAAATGTCGAAACTTGGTGAAGTCGGAAGGATTTATTTGCAGGTTTTTAACATTATTGCAATTGGTATTCTCATTTTTATATTTTGATTGAAAACCACGTAGAGTGTAGTCCAGTGAATTGAATTCTTGTTGTAATAATTTGTAGTAAGCTTAAATTTTTAGGCGGAGAAGCGGCGTAATTCGATGGGGAAAGTTCGAAAACGTTTCGTAGAAGGTTGGGTGGAATTCAAGGATAAACGTTTAGCGAAACGTATCGCTGCATCGTTGAACGCTACACCTGTTGGTGGGAAACGTAGAAGTGCATCCAGGGAAACTCTATGGACGATGAAATATCTTAGCGGGTTAGTACGTTTAATCTTTTTATCTTAAGTTAGAATACGTCTTCTAAATATTACTGCTGTGTTAGAAGGCAGTTCATTCAAGATGATTGAAATATTTGTCAACCTATGATCCAAGTTGGACAAGCATATAAATCATCTTTTGACAGTGAAGGTTCAAATGGACACATTTAAAAGAGCAGGTTGCCTATGAGCAGAAAGTAGAACAGCAACGAATGCGAGCTGAAATATCTCAGGTGAAACGACAAGCTAATTTCTTTGCGGAACAGGTTGAGAAAGGGAAACAATTGAAGAAACTGGAAGAAAAGGTTATATTCTCACAAATTGATCCTTCATATTGCTCTTTGCTTTTATATGTTCTGCACAGTTTTATTTGATGATTGGGCCATTAATTGCGTCTCTTTACGACACTTTTCAATGAACAAATATTTTTGAAACGTCAAGTTATTATTGGAGACACCTGAGAGGAACAGTCGCTCAATGAGTATTCTTTTTTCTATTTCTATCCTTTTTGAAAATATTCTCAAATTTTTCTTCTACGTTTGTTTTGTTTTAATTGGCTTATTAATTACTCAGAACATCGAGTATCTTTACGATAAATATTTGATATCTTTGTTAGCGTGAATGCAAGTTGTGAAAAATTGTCAGCATTTGAAATTCAACCTTTGTATAGGTTAAGTTTGTGACTGTGTTTTTGATTTGAACGTGTATATCGTTTTGAATTAACGTGAATATCAGCAAAATTTTTGTTGAAGGTGTTGAAAAAAGGTGGTGAATGGGACAAATTCCAACGACAAGTGCAACAACGATCGGTTGTTAAGAAGAGGAAAGCAAAAGAAACGGAGTCACCATCAAGCGAGGATTTAATGAAAATGATCTTTACTGATGCTGATTAATGTGATTGCAATTTTGGGTTATTTTAATTGTTTACCAATCGCTCCATTGATCACCACAGTAAACTGATAAGATAAAATAAGTATTCACAAATGTCCTGCGTGCTTACATTCGTGAATTTCAATCAAATGCAATTATATAACGAATACTGTTCTAGTGATGACTGCTATGTGTATCAGGAATTTAATAAATGTGAATAGAGTTATGTTGTGTACTAACGCAAAATTGAGTATATTGGCAAATTTTTAGTGAAAAATGTTTGAGAAGAGCATTGATCTAGCTTAATGAAATGAAATAATGGTACAGTATTGGACATTGCTAAGATCTCGCATATGTCCATTATTTTCTGACCGAAAAGAGGGGTGAACCCTGACTTTCACTGAAAACTCGCCGCGGATTAACAGAATCGACCTAATGTATTTCGAATTTCACACATCAAACAGTTTGTATTCAGTGAACACAAGGAATTGTGTCATCCTGCGTGCACTCGTGAAATGAATATTGATAATTACTCTCGTTTGCAACTTTGCTATACCGTAAGACCTCACACAATAATGTAGTGTGTTGTGAGGATGGAAAAAAGTCGTGGACCCTAAGAGTGCGGTCACCTTGAAAAATGTCGAGGACGGGGAAAACGGGATGGGTTCCTGAAACTTTCCATTTCCGGCAACACCACCATTGAAGTGGACTGATACATAATCGCTTGCCTTGTTCTTTTACGATCAGAGATTAAAAATGAGACTAAAAGCGATCTTTCCGGAACAGCACAATTATCTGTCGCAGTGATTCACTTGCTTTTGCGCTTGGTGCCGTCTGTGATCATTCAACGAATGGCCATTTCCTCTTGTTCTCGAAGAATTTATTTCTTGACAGGAACACATCAAATGCAAATCGCAAATTGATTCAATTTCCAAGAAGTTTATTGCATAGACCTCTTCGGCGATACCACCCTTTGCTATCACCGATGATTTTTTTTTTGTTGTAAAAATACTTGCTTGCTCATTTAAACAGTCAAAATGAATTCACCAACCTCCTCAAATCCGCTTGACCAGACACCCTGAAATTTCCCCGTGACATTCTCCAATCTCCTCCTCCCCCCCTCTCTTCCGATAAGAACCAATGGTCTACTGCAAGAAATTGCATTCATAATTCATAACTCTGCCGCTGCCCATATAGAAAAATTAGGATATTTTTAGACAAACCAGTGAATGACCTTCATGTTGCTATTGGAAACAGCATCGAAGAATCGTTAAACCATTAACTTCCCTTCACATCTCATCTCCGATTCACTGATTTGACAACGCACTGCAATAAACTTTCATGTTTGCACTGCACAAAAGGCATTGATGAATCGTGTTATAAGGTTTGCGATTTTTTTGATAGCGAGAAAATTTATCTTTTGCATCCTGCGCTAAAAAAACATCAACGAAAATTTCTGAAACTCGTAAAAAAGCATTTTCTCAAAAGTGCATTCTAGGATGAGCCACTATAAGTGGGTTCAATGCATATTAGATGGAAACAGTTAAGAGAAGTTCATTGGGGAAGAGAAGAAACACTTAGATGACATATTTTGATAAGATGACACATCCTTTTGCATTCGACCTACGATCACATTTGATCAACTCCAATTCGGCGTTCAATCAGTCGTTTTATTTTGTGATTCTAAAAGATGGACTATTCATAGGTGAGACGTCCAACTTTTTGATATTTCTGAGATAATTAGTGTTTAAAATATGATTGTTTATGAACGAATATGTGTAAAATAATTTATGCAACAGTTTCATGATCATGTTGAACTGGTTGAATAAAATGGATAGCAATACGCTCTTCTACTTCCTACTCAATATCAGCTCGTCGTTCTGTTTGGCTGCAGCTCATAATGCACTTTACTTTGTATTGGATATACGTACTACAGTGATACACTTCCTTCATTATCTACTCGCATTCGTCTTATTAATTCTTTCCCATGGAACTGGTGCTCATGCAAACTTATCAAATAAACTTCCGGCAAAAGCTTTCATTAAACCAGTCCTCATACAACTTCTTATCGTTTTATTATCCACCTTGGTGCACTCGCAACAAAAATCCGGTAGTCTTTATCTTATCAGGTTTGTCTCATTTCGTGTTTTTAGCAAACATTAATGCAACACTATTCAACCGAACGAAACGAAAATACAGTTTTGCTGGCATAACAACCTTTCATGAACCTTTATCGAATAACTATTGACTCGTTTAGGGTATTCGATTTTATTACGATGCTCATCATTATCAAATACGGGAAACAAGTACTTGGCATTGTTGATCAGTGGCCTTCTTACGGAATTCTTGTATGTTTCTTCAAGAAGTATTTGTTGACAAGAATAAACGCCCAGGAAAAAGTAGTAATGCATGATTGTTTCCAAAAAATCGGAAGGAAAATAAATTCATCACTTCATTATTCGAAAACTGCTTATATTTAGTGAGCTTTGAAGAAACGCTTGATGAAATTGAAGGAAAGGCAATATTAGATTCAGCACCACAGTCATTCTGAATGATTCGATCATGCGGCCCAAAGATGATCACTTTTGATAATTTCAAATCTTTCATTTTTCTCCTCTTGTCACTTTGTCTCACTTTTCGTTTCAAAAGATGAAGATGATCTTATTGGAGGCATCGGGAAAATGCTTTTGAAATGATGATTAATACGTTTTTCAGCTCCCAATTGCAATCGGTGGCTCGCTGAGTTGGTTGGAGTTCAGTGTTATCGAGTACGATCGTATTGGTCTTATTTTGAGTCCGTTGTTGGCTGCAGTTCAAGGGCTACAAATTTTACAGTTACAAAAGTGCTATAAAATGATCGCTCCGAATCAAGTACAACTATTTTCACTTTATTTTACAGGTTTGTTTTCAAATAATTTTAGAATAAGAAAACTGCATCAGTCCTTTTAAAAGGCGCATTGAATTGATTTGAAGCACGTTCAATTCGATGGGTTGTTACCAGCATTAGTGTTGAGTTCTTATTATTCATTTGAAATACACAGGACTCACTGCCTCGGTACTTGCAATACCTGCCCTTTGCTCATGGTCAACGTCGCATGTGTCTATGGATGCGTCTTGGGAATCAATTGATTACGTGAGATTATTCACTTATTCATTTGTTCGAATATTCAATTCTTATTCATTGCATTTATAGGTTCTGATCATGATGTCGATCGTGTTTATGGCAAATTTCAAATACTCAGAGTTATGGTTGCAATTGAACTTAGATGCACGTGACTTTTTCGTGCTTGAACAAAGCAAATTTTGGCTTGCAAGCATTGGTCAGTGGTTCATACAGAATATGGCTCATGCAACCATATTCAGCATAGCTGGTAAAATACTGATGTTTGGTGGTGTTATTCGCTATGTTGGATACTTGAATCGGCATCAAAGTGAACATCATAAACCTTAGAGCACTTGATTGCTACATGGTTATTCATCGGTGTATTTACGATAGACTAAACTGGAGACAAAATTCAGATTTTCAAAATTTTTGTTTGATTATCGAACTGCTTGCGAGGAATAAAATGTGAACGTTTCAAATGAGTATGTGTTGTTTTGACAGCAATCAATCATTCATTTGTTTGAATACTGCAGAATTGTATAAAAAGATTGGCAGATGATGATTATGAATATGATTACTATGAAAGTCAGGATAAGGATCATAATTATCATCATGATTACTTCAACTGGTGGAAAATTTTGAACGTTGGTTAAGTAGCATTTCCTTGTATGCTTACACTCGATGATCGATATGCTCTGTCTTGAAGTGATCAGTAACGTTGAATAAAATTTGTTCTTTCAACGATATACTTTTCCATACACAGTTTCCACTTACCCAGCCCCTACTTTCAATTGCTGATCCTCATTGATCGATTCAGACTGCTATCATCAGTTACCTCAAAAGCAAAGCAGAATAGACACAATCAGTGAGATTTGTAGCACAAAAAATCGCTCAGCAAACACTTTTAATTCAGACAGTCTTCAAAATTACAGATCTCCTACAGGTTGCATCTGCCGACCATAAGAATCAACATCAGCTGGTAATAAGCAATGCGTTTTCATTACAGTGCAAACTATTATCTCTAATCATTGTTTAAATTGCAAATAAACTCAAAAAACATTCGCTAGTGATGATTTGTTTGTGGTGGAAATGAAATTTATGAAGCATGGTTCTTGATGAATTCGATATTAGCTTATTAGGTGACTTATGAATCATAAACAGAACTTAGTGAGAATATGATAATACATTCAGTATGAATTAAAATGTTGAAATAGTGTCCGATATGCACATTGTGTGTGTGAGTGTGTAGCGTGCATGCATTTGTGTGCATTGATAAAGTCTGGAGCAACATTTACGCAGTGTGATATAAAAACAAATTTTGTGAGGTGAGAGTCAAACACAGAACGTATGATGTGATGACGACGACTTGTTTGAATGACGACTATTGAATGTATTGTTTGGTTGGCGGTCATTCGTAAAGGTGAATAGAGTGAATATTGCATTAAGGTGTAACGCTTAGTAACGAACAACTGAATATACATTGTGTTTCCTTTTCCATGTGCTACTACTACCTCCTACGAGGTAAGCACACCTATTACTATTGGTTTTCGAGTTCTTCTGATGTTGATGCCATCCATTTCTGTTTTATTTATGATGATAGTTTATCGAAGATCGTATTCAGAATATCACATCAGTCTCTAAAATTTTAATCATGTCACACTTTTTTCATTGTCGATACAATTCATCTCGTTTTCAGTATAATTCACCTGAACATGTTTTTGTTGTGTGTGATGATAAACTCGAAGTTTCATAGAACGACAAGTGCATGAATTTTCGTTCGTTGAATACTCTTCTTTATCGAATATAACTTTCGTTAAAACTTCATTAATCATTATTTAATTTGCTTTATATGTTTTTACATCAGTAAGCGAGTTCAATAAGGTTCAGAACAGATGAAGGTATGTCAATTTTGAAATGATTATACCTATTTTGAAAATTCGTTGAGCATTCGATTGTTAGAGTAAGTGTTCCTCTATTGTTCGATCAAACGGGTTGTGGTAGCCATGAGAAGAGCATTAAATGGAACATATTTCAATATTTTCGCTCGAATCATTAACCATTCTTAGATGCTTCCTCCTTTTGTATTTCTTCCGTCATTCGCCGGATGTCTTGAGTAGATGCTTCGTTGATATAAACATTCATTTATATTCATTTCATCTAATATTATCCGAGCACATTTAACGCCGATGAAATTCTGATATTTCATCTATGTCAGTCAGTTTTCGTTGTTCGTTCGACTGACAAATTCGATTTTGTCAGCTTATATTGACAATCAATTAATCAGTTCTTTTGTTACTCCTGACACATCCAATCTTAATGTTTCATTGTTTCATGGCTAAAGCTTAATGCACTCTATAACTCTTAGATACTGAATTATGAGGAACATGAGACGAAATCACATTTTCGAGACATGAACGTACGATGTTCGTCGAACGTACGTTTCTCTGAGTGCATGAAGGAGTTTGATGCATGATCGATGAATCAATTAATTATCGATTGATTCTCATTAAACATATCACCTATATGGCAAACAAAAAGAGAGATACAGAGAATGTACTGTAGCAAAGTTGCTCGGTTCAACGCATGAAATGTGTGTTAATATTAAAGGTGTTATTTAATTGATGTGAATAACGATCGATCAACATCCGACTGAATCCATCCATCCTCATTGTTTGATGGTTGTTATTCAGTGCCATACTCAACTCACAATACATCGTCATTGCTTTCAATCACATGCACATATTAATTCATATATTCATTCATAGACGAATAAACACAATGACAGCAATCTTACCCTTACCGCTATTCTACGGCATTTTACCTACGAGTTAGTTTCATACCTTGATCATATTACTCTTGCATCTGAACAACTCGTCACTCATTGATTTTACTAGACCATTCAATTATTACGATGAATTCATTTCTGAATATCGATTAGTTCAGTTGAAACCTTATCATGATTTCGCAATTTTCGAATCACCCAGCAATCATTTTCTTTTTCATTCAAATATTTCAGTATATTTCCACCATATAATTGCTGTTGTAGGGCATAAAAAATTGCACACCTTCAATGTCAAATACCCACTGAATATAATCTTTCTAAAGTCGTCCTAGATTTCAAAATACTCGCCAGTGCAGTGGTTGTATGAGCGATAGATCAGAGTTGGATAGATTTCGTGATTTGGTTAAACGAAACATTTGATGGCATTCGTTTTGGTCGCTGATGATCTTTTAAGAGTACTTGATTATTTCATACCTTTTCTGTTTGATTCGGCAGTCGTTATTCATCTCTGTTCTGTTTTATTCTCAAAGAGATGTGCGATCTACTCGTTCAATTTACATTTATGCAACATATTCATCACTCAGTTTTATCATCAATTGTCAAGAAAATTTATTCAAATAAAGTGTTTTCAAAATTAATTAATTAATTTGACCGGAACGAATTTGTTGTTTTTCAAGAGGTGAACCGGATGGGTTGTAAGGAAAAAATGTCGTTTACTCTATGATCGACGTCAAATCGGTATAGTTTGCCTACGAAATGAACATCGAGTCTGAAGAAATCGCTAGGAAATGTTTCATTGTTGAGTGCTCGAAGTAACCATATAATGAAGCTTTATCGTGTAAAGTGATTAGGAAATGCGTTTATGAATTGGCCTATTTGCTGCTATTTGTTATATTGCTGGTTTCATGTTGACATTCTTCGAATTGACAATAAACCGAAACAAACTGAAACAGAAACACATTTCAGTGTTTGCTTAGATTGTGTAACGCCATCAGCCATGATACGATCTATTTCATGCGATCGCAGACAGTCAGCATGCAAGAGAAATACATGCAAACAGCATTCATGAATAACGCGATTATGACTACAAACTTACTTGAATGTTACTACTGCAGAGTGATAATAATAAAAAATAAAATAAAAATAATAATAATAGTAATAATAATAATAAAAGTTGGAAGAGCAAAGCAGTGATCGGGCAGATTGAAAGGAAGGGAATATGTGATGGATGTCGTCAGTGAGATTGCATCCATGGTGATGTAACGGCGATAGATGTGCTCACGAAGGCGCATTGCTTCTCTTTTCTTATTTTCATATTGTCGTACCTCTTTAAACTGAACATTTGTTGATAGCACGTGAATCGTCGCGGATCCATTCTTCATCCTATTTTGAAATCATTCTTCCGCACTTCAGCTCATACGAACTGCAAAATGTTTCGTCGAAACGTTCCTTTCATTAGATACAAACGTATATAATTCATCACTAAAAAAGACCACGTTTGAAACTCTAAAATTCAAGAGACTTCTTCTAAAAATTGAAAAATCAGAAGGATCGTATCGGTAATTTAGTCTCCATACGAATTCGACATTAACAAGCAAAGAAACTCACAAAGAATATGAACACATTTTGTTGTACGGAATGAATTGAGAACGATCGTTTAGTCAATAGCAAATGATCATATATTTGAATGGTACAGAAACAATTTTTATAGGACGACTTGCGACGTTCTCGTCAATCGTCGAGCAGATTGGTGTCTTGCGTTCAACAGACCAACTGGAATCGATCTTGTGTTGTTCCTACTCGATTGTATGATCATCAAACAAATTGTTTTGCGACGAAATTGAAGAACCATTTTGACAAGCCTGACACTGCATCAGCACTACAGTTTCTTATGAAAGACCACAGTACACCCTTCTAACGACCAATTTAAACCGAATTCGAGCACATTCATATGGCAAAATTGTTCGAATCAATCGGAGAGCTGGTTCGTTTGCTGCTCATCATTTCTTCATACCATAATTTTGCGTTATTTTCCCTTACATGCTCCCACTTATTCATTTGTTGGTTAAAATTATTTTTCGAATGAATATGGAAAATTGTTGAGAACCGAAATTTTATCACTAACATAAGTGAACATGAGTAGAAAGGAAGTTCAGTGGATTATATGTGTGCACAATGTTTGGCTGTGATGTTGTTGTTGTAGATGTTACTTTGAAAAGCGCAATACATTGGTCATACCTCCTTTGGCATCAGAATTTTCGTGAAATTCATAATGATGATAACAATAATAGCTTTATCATTCATACTATTTCATTGGGATTTGCCTTTTTGTGCATTATTTGACGCTGTGAGTGATCAGGGTTGTGATATGGAGTGAACACTTCAAGATACTTCAAGAATGAAATGAGCTTAGAAAAACACAGACGGAAGAAATGCATTGGTGATCACTTGGAAAGTTATGATAAGCGATACAACAACTTGGAATATGTAGACACGATTGCCATGGCAACTCATTTCGTCAATCCAATATATCGCTTAACATTTCAAACAACCTGATCGATTCGCA